AAGACTTATCTTCCCCTGTGTATTGTATAAGACTTATCTTCCCCTGTGTATTGTATAAGACTTATCTCCCCTGTGTATTGTATAAGACTTATCTTCCCCTGTGTATTGTATAAGACTTATCTTCCCTGTGTGTATTGTATAAGACTTATCTTCCCTGTGTATTGTATAAGACTTATTTCCCCCGTGTATTTTATAAGACTTATCTTCCCCTGTGTATTGTATATGACTTATCTTCCCCTGTGTATTGTATAAGACTTATCTTCCCCTGTGTATTGTATCAGACTTATCTTCCCCTATGTATTGTATAAGACTTATTTTCCCTGTGTGTTGTATGACTTATTTTCCCCTGTGTATTGTATAAGACTTATCTTCCCCTGTGTATGTATCAGACTTATCTTCCCCTGTGTGTTGTATAAGACTTATTTTCCCTGTGTATTGTATAAGACTTATCTTCCCCTGTGTGTTGTATAAGACTTATCTTCCCTGTGTGTATTGTATAAGACTTATCTTCCCCTGTGTGTTGTATAAGACTTATTTCCCTGTGTGTTGTATAAGACTTATCTTCCCCTATGTATTGTATAGACTTATCTTCCCTGTGTATGTGTAAGACTTATTTCCCCTGTGTGTTGTATAAGACTTATTTCCTGTGTGTTGTATGACTTACCTTCCCTGTGTATTGTATAAGACTTATCTTCCCCTGTGTATTGTATGACTTTATCTTCCCTATGTATTGTATAAGACTTATTTCCCTGTGTGTTGTATAAGACTTATTTTCCCTGTGTGTTGTATGTGTTATAAGACTTCCCCTGTGTGTGTGTATAAGACTTATCTTCCCTGTGTTATTGTATAAGACTTATCTTCCCCTGTGTATTGTATATAAGACTGTGTGTGTATGACTTCCCTGTGTATTGTGTGTGTACTTGTAAGACTTATGTTCCCTGTGTGTTGTATAAGACTTATCTTCCCCTGTGTGTATTGTATGTGACTTATCCTTCCCTGTGTGTGTGTGTGTTCTGTATTTCCTTGTAAGACTTATCTTCCACTGTGTGTGTGTCTTCCCTGTGTGTTGTATAAGACTGTATCTTCCTGTGTATTGTGTGTGTTGTCTTCCCTGTGTATTGTATAAGACTTATCTTCCCCTGTGTATTGTATAAGACTTATCTTCCCTGTGTGTTGTGTGTCTTATCTTCCCTGTGTGTGACTTATTTATCCCTGTGTATTGTATAAGACTTATCTTCCTGTGTGTGTATTGACTATGTGTTCCCTTGTGTGTGTGTATCTTCCTCCTGTGTTTGTATAAGACTTATCTTCCTGTGTATTGTATAAGACTTATCTTCCCCTGTGTATTGTATAAGACTTCCTGTGTATTGTATATGACCTATCTTCCTGTGTGTTGTATAAGACTTATCTTCCCTGTGTATTGTATAAGACTTATCTTCCTGTGTGTGTATAAGATGTGTCTTCCCTGTGTATTGTATAAGACTTACCTTCCCCTGTGTATTGTATAAGACTTACCTTCCCTCCTGTGTTCCTTCCCTATATTCCATGACTTATCTTCCCTGTGTGTGTGTATAAGACTTATCTTCCCCTGTGTATTGTATAAGACTTATCTCCCCTGTGTGTTGTATAAGACTCTATCTTCCCCTGTGTATTGTATAAGACTTATCTTCCCTGTGTGTATATGACTTATTTTCCCCTGTGTGTTGTATAAGACTTATCTTCCCCTGTGTATTGTATAAGACTTATCTTCCCCTGTGTATTGTATAAGACTTATCTTCCCCTGTGTGTTGTATAAGACTTATCTTCCCCTGTGTATTGTATAAGACTTATCTTCCCTGTGTATTGTATATAAGACTTCCCTGTGTGTGTGTATTCCCTATGTGTGTTGTATAAGACTTACCTTCCCCTGTGTGTTGTATAAGACTTGTGTTTGTGTCCCCTGTGTGTGTGTGGCTTTCCTGTGTATTAGTCTTCCCTGTGTATTGTATGAGACTTATCTTCCCCTGTGTATTGTATAAGACTTATCTTCCCTGTGTGTGTATGTCCCCTGTCTTCCCTGTGTATATAAGACTTATCTTCCCCTGTGTATTGTATAAGACTTATCTTCCCCTGTGTGTTGTATAAGACTTATATCTTCCCTATGTGTATTGTATAAGACTTATCTTCCCTGTGTGTATTGTATAAGACTTCCCATCTCCCCTGTGTATTGTATATAGACTTGTCTTCCCTGTGTATTGTATAAGACTTATCTTCCCTGTGTATTGTATAAGACTTATCTTCCCCTGTGTATTGTATAAGACTTATCTTCCCCTGTGTATTGTATAAGACTTATCTTCCCTGTGTGTTGTATAAGACTTATCTTCCTGTGTATTGTATAAGACTTATCTTCCCCTGTGTATTGTATAAGACTTATCTTCCCCTGTGTATTGTATGTTATCTTCCCCTGTGTATTGTATAAGACTTATGTCCCTGTTGTATAAGACTTATTTCCCCTGTGTGTTTGTATAAGACTTATCTTCCCCTGTGTATTGTATAAGACTTATCTTCCCCTGTGTATTGTATAAGACTTATCTTCCCCTGTGTATTGTATAAGACTTATCTTCCCCTGTGTATTGTATAAGACTTATCTTCCCTGTGTATTGTATAAGACTTATCTTCCCTGTGTATTGTATAAGACTTATACTTCCCTTCCCCTGTGTATTGTATGTTGTTTATCTTCCCCTGTGTATTGTATAAGACTTATCTTCCCTGTGTATTGTATAAGACTTATCTTCCCTGTGTATTGTATAAGACTTATCTTCCCTGTGTGTTGTATAAGACTTATCTTCCCCTGTGTGTTGTATAAGACTTATCCTTCCCCTGTGTTTGTATAAGACTTATCTTCCTGTGTATTGTATAAGACTTATCTTCCCTGTGTATTGTATAAGACTTATCTTCCCCTGTGTGTTGTATAAGACTTATCTTCCTGTGTGTATTGTATAAGACTTATCTTCCCTGTGTATTGTATAAGACTTATCTTCCCTGTGTATTGTATAAGACTTACCTTCCCTGTGTATTGTATAAGACTTATCTTCCCTGTGTGTATGACTTATCTTCCCTGTGTATTGTGTAAGACTTCCCCCCCTGTGTTGTATAAGACTGTATGTGTCTTCCTGTGTGTTGTATAAGACTTATCTTCCCTGTGTGTATTGTATAAGACTTATCTTCCCTGTGTATTGTATAAGACTTATCTTCCCTGTGTGTGTGTATAAGACTTGTCTTCCCTGTGTGTTGTATAAGACTTATCTTCCCCTGTGTGTTGTATAAGACTTATCTTCCCCTGTGTGTTGTATAAGACTTATCTTCCTGTGTATTGTCCCTACCTGTGTGTTGTATAAGACTTACCTTCCCCTGTGTATTGTATGGCTGTCTTATCTGTGTGTGTGTGTGTATTGTATAAGACTTATTATCTTCCCCTGTGTGTTGTATCCTTGTGTGTGTGTTATTTCTGTGTGTGTGTATAAGACTGTATCTTCCCCTGTGCTTTGTATGTGACTGTACCTTCCTGTGTGTGTTGTCTTCCCTGTGTGTGTATCTTCCCTGTGTGTTGTATGTGACTTACTTCCTGTGTATTGTATAAGACTGTGTGTTCTGTATGTGTGTGTGTCTTCCCTACTGTGTGTGTGTGTGTAAGACTGTCTTCCCTGTGTGTTGTTGTATGTGTATAAGACTTATTCCCTGTGTGTTGTGTGACTTATCTTCCCCTGTGTATTGTATAAGACTTATCTTCCCTGTGTATTGTATAAGACTTATCTTCCTGTGTATTGTATAAGACTTATCTCCTTTGTGTATTGTATAAGACTTATCTCCTCTGTGTATTGTATAAGACTTATCTTCCCCTGTGTATTGTATAAGACTTCTCTTCCTCTGTGTATTGTATAAGACTTATCTCCCCTGTGTATTGTATAAGACTTATCTTCCCCTGTGTATTGTATAAGACTTATCTTCCCCTGTGTATTGTATAAGACTTATCTTCCCCTGTGTATTGTATAAGACTTACCTTCCCCTGTGTATTGTATAAGACTTATCTTCCCCTGTGTATTGTATAAGACTTATCTTCCCCTGTGTATTGTATAAGACTTATTTCCCCTGTGTGTTGTATAAGACTTATCTTCCCCTGTGTATTGTATAAGACTTATCTTCCCCTGTGTATTGTATAAGACTTACCTTCCCCTATGTATTGTATAAGACTTACCTTCCCCTGTGTATTGTATAAGACTTACCTTCCCCTGTGTATTGTATAAGACTTACCTTCCCCTGTGTGTTGTATAAGACTTATTTTCCCCTGTGTATTGTATGACTTACCTTCCCCTGTGTATTGTATAAGACTTATCTTCCCCTGTGTATTGTATAAGACTTATCTTCCCCTGTGTATTGTATAAGACTTATCTTCCCCTGTGTATTGTATAAGACTTATCTTCCCCTATGTATTGTATAAGACTTATCTTCCCCTGTGTATTGTATAAGACTTATCTTCCCCTGTGTATTTTATAAGACTTATCTTCCCCTGTGTATTGTATATGACTTACCTTCCCCTGTGTTTTGTATAAGACTTATCTCCCTTGTGTATTGTATAAGACTTATCTCCTCTGTGTATTGTATAAGACTTATCTTCCCCTGTGTATTGTATAAGACTTCTCTTCCTCTGTGTATTGTATAAGACTTATCTCCCCTGTGTATTGTATAAGACTTGTCTCCCAGTTTATTGTATAAGACTTATCTTCCCCTGTGTATTGTATAAGACTTATCTTCCCCTGTGTATTGTATAAGACTTATCTTCCCCTGTGTATTGTATAAGACTTATCTTCCCTGTGTATTGTATAAGACTTATCTTCCCCTGTGTATTTTATAAGACTTATCTCCTCGTCTATTGTATAAGACTTATCTCCCCCTGTGGATTATGTAAGACTTATCTTCCCCTGTGTATTGTATAAGACTTATCTCCCCGTGTTTTGCATCAGGCTTCAGGAAGTGACATGACCGTGGTGGCATTCCTCATCCTTCCAGCCAAGACCAACAACTTCAACGTGGAGTCTCTCAGAGGGCAGGCTATTGCCAAACAGCTCCGGGAAACAGTGCAGCATGTACAGAACTCTGTCGGGAAGAGGATGTTTGAAATCTGTTTAAGGTACAAGTGTGTTGTTACAGAGGCAGATATGATGTGTTTCTGTATGTTACAGAGAATGTAGTGAATCATGCCTGTATGTTACAGAGGCAGTACTGATGTGTGTCTGTATATTACAAAGACAGTACTGATGTGTGTCTGTATGTTACAGAGGCAGTACTGATGTGTGTCTGTATGTTACAGAGGCAGTACTGATGTGTGTCTGTATGTTACAGAGACAGTACTGATGTGTGTCTGTATGTTACAGAGGCAGTACTGATGTGTGTCTGTATATTACAGGAGCAGTACTGATCTGTGTCTATGTTACAGAGGCAGTACTGATATGTGTCTGTATGTTACAGAAGCAGTACTGATGTGTGTCTATATGTTACAGATGCAGTACTGATGTGTATCTATGTTACAGAGGCAGTACTGATGTGTGTCTGTATGTTACAGAGGCAGTACTGATGTGTGTCTGTATGTTACAGAGGCAGTACTGATGTGTTTCTGTATGTTACAGAGGCAGTACTGATGTGTGTCTGTATGTTACAGAGGCAGTACTGGTGTGTGTGTATGTTACAGGGGCAGTACTGATGTGTGTCTGTATGTTACAGGGACAGTACTGATGTGTGTCTGTATATTACAGAGGCAGTACTTATGTGTGTCTGTATGTTACAGATACAGTACTGATGTGTCTGTATGTTACAGAGGCAGTACTGATATGTGTCTGTATGTTACAGGAGCAGTACTGATGTGTGTCTATGTTCCACAGAGGGAGTACTGATGTGTGTCTGTATGTTACAGAGGCAGTACTGATGTGTGTCTGTATGTTACAGAGGCAGTAATGATGTGTGTCTGTATGTTACAGAGGCAGTACTGATGTGTGTGTGTGTCTGTATATTACAGAAGCAGTACTGATGTGTGTCTGTATGTTACAGATACAGTACTGATGTGTCTGTATGTTACAGAGGCAGTACTGATATGTGTCTGTATATTACATGAGCAGTACTGATGTGTGTCTATGTTCCACGGAGGGAGTACTGATGTGTGTCTGTATGTTACAGAGGCAGTACTGATGTGTGTCTGTATGTTACAGAAGCAGTACTGATGTGTGTCTGTATGTTACAGAGGCAGTACTGATGTGTGTCTATGTTACAGAGGCAGTACTGATGTGTGTCTATGTTACAGAGGCAGTACTGATGTGTTTCTGTATATTACAGGAGCAGTACTGATGTGTGTCTGTATGTTACAGAGGCAGTACTGATGTGTTTCTGTATGTTACAGAAGCAGTACTGATGTGTGTCTGTATGTTACAGATGCAGTACTGATGTGTGTCTATGTTACAGATGCAGTACTGATGTGTGTCTATGTTACAGAGGCAGTACTGATGTGTCTCTATGTTACAGAAGCAGTACTGATGTGTGTCTGTATGTTACAGAGGCAGTACTGATGTGTGTCTGTATGTTACAGAGACAGTCCTGATGTGTGTCTGTATGTTACAGAGGCAGTACTGATGTGTGTCTGTATATTACAGGAGCAGTACTGATATGTGTCTGTATGTTACAGAAGCAGTACTGATGTGTGTCTGTATGTTACAGAAGCAGTACTGATGTGTGTCTGTATGTTACAGAGGCAGTACTGATGTGTGTCTGTATGTTACAGAGACAGTCCTGATGTGTGTCTGTATGTTACAGAGACAGTCCTGATGTGTGTCTATGTTACAGAGGCAGTACTGATATGTGTCTGTATGTTACAGAAGCAGTACTGATGTGTGTCTGTATGTTACAGATGCAGTACTGATGTGTATCTATGTTACAGAGGCAGTACTGATGTGTGTCTGTATGTTACAGAGGCAGTACTGATGTGTGTCTGTATGTTACAGAGGCAGTACTGATGTGTTTCTGTATGTTACAGAGGCAGTACTGATGTGTGTCTGTATGTTACAGAGGCAGTACTGGTGTGTGTGTATGTTACAGGGGCAGTACTGATGTGTGTCTGTATGTTACAGGGACAGTACTGATGTGTGTCTGTATATTACAGAGGCAGTACTTATGTGTGTCTGTATGTTACAGATACAGTACTGATGTGTCTGTATGTTACAGAGGCAGTACTGATATGTGTCTGTATGTTACAGGAGCAGTACTGATGTGTGTCTATGTTCCACAGAGGGAGTACTGATGTGTGTCTGTATGTTACAGAGGCAGTACTGATGTGTGTCTGTATGTTACAGAGGCAGTACTGATGTGTGTCTATGTTACAGATGCAGTACTGATGTGTGTCTGTATGTTACAGAGGCAGTACTGATGTGTGTCTGTATGTTACAGATGCAGTACTGATGTGTGTCTGTATGTTACAGATACAGTACTGATGTGTCTGTATGTTACAGAGGCAGTACTGATATGTGTCTGTATGTTACATGAGCAGTACTGATGTGTGTCTATGTTCCACGGAGGGAGTACTGATGTGTGTCTGTATGTTACAGATGCAGTACTGATGTGTGTCTATGTTACAGATGCAGTACTGATGTGTGTCTATGTTACAGAGGCAGTACTGATGTGTCTCTATGTTACAGAAGCAGTACTGATGTGTGTCTGTATGTTACAGAGGCAGTACTGATGTGTGTCTGTATGTTACAGAGACAGTCCTGATGTGTGTCTGTATGTTACAGAGGCAGTACTGATGTGTGTCTGTATATTACAGGAGCAGTACTGATATGTGTCTGTATGTTACAGAAGCAGTACTGATGTGTGTCTGTATGTTACAGAAGCAGTACTGATGTGTGTCTGTATGTTACAGAGGCAGTACTGATGTGTGTCTGTATGTTACAGAGACAGTCCTGATGTGTGTCTGTATGTTACAGAGACAGTCCTGATGTGTGTCTATGTTACAGAGGCAGTACTGATATGTGTCTGTATGTTACAGAAGCAGTACTGATGTGTGTCTGTATGTTACAGATGCAGTACTGATGTGTATCTATGTTACAGAGGCAGTACTGATGTGTGTCTGTATGTTACAGAGGCAGTACTGATGTGTGTCTGTATGTTACAGAGGCAGTACTGATGTGTTTCTGTATGTTACAGAGGCAGTACTGATGTGTGTCTGTATGTTACAGAGGCAGTACTGGTGTGTGTGTATGTTACAGGGGCAGTACTGATGTGTGTCTGTATGTTACAGGGACAGTACTGATGTGTGTCTGTATATTACAGAGGCAGTACTTATGTGTGTCTGTATGTTACAGATACAGTACTGATGTGTCTGTATGTTACAGAGGCAGTACTGATATGTGTCTGTATGTTACAGGAGCAGTACTGATGTGTGTCTATGTTCCACAGAGGGAGTACTGATGTGTGTCTGTATGTTACAGAGGCAGTACTGATGTGTGTCTGTATGTTACAGAGGCAGTACTGATGTGTGTCTGTATGTTACAGAGGCAGTACTGATGTGTGTCTGTATATTACAGAAGCAGTACTTATGTGTGTCTGTATGTTACAGATACAGTACTGATGTGTCTGTATGTTACAGAGGCAGTACTGATATGTGTCTGTATGTTACATGAGCAGTACTGATGTGTGTCTATGTTCCACGGAGGGAGTACTGATGTGTGTCTGTATGTTACAGAGGCAGTACTGATGTCTGTCTGTATGTTACAGAAGCAGTACTGATGTGTGTCTGTATGTTACAGAGGCAGTACTGATGTGTGTCTATGTTACAGAGGCAGTACTGATGTGTGTCTATGTTACAGAGGCAGTACTGATGTGTTTCTGTATATTACAGGAGCAGTACTGATGTGTGTCTGTATGTTACAGAGGCAGTACTGATATGTGTCTGTATGTTACAGAAGCAGTACTGATGTGTGTCTGTATGTTACAGAGGCAGTACTGATGTGTGTCTATGTTACAGATGCAGTACTGATGTGTGTCTATGTTACAGAGGCAGTACTGATGTGTGTCTGTATGTTACAGAGGCAGTACTGATCTGTCTGTATGTTACAGAGGCAGTACTGATGTGTGTCTGTATGTTACAGAGGCAGTACTGATGTGTGTCTGTATGTTACAGAGGCTGTACTGATGTGTGTCTGTATGTTACAGAGGCAGTACTGATGTGTGTCTGTATGTTACAGAGGCAGTACTGATGTGTGTCTGTATGTTACAGAGGCAGTACTTATGTGTTTCTGTATGTTACAGGGGCAGTACTGATGTGTGTCTGTATATGACAGTGGCAGTACTGATGTGTGTCTGTATGTCACAGAGGCAGTACTGATATGTGTCTGTATCTTGCAGAGGCAGTACTGATGTGTGTCTGTATGTTACAGGGGTAGTGCTGATGTGTGTCTATGTTACTGAGGCAGTACTGATGTGTGTCTGTATATTACAGATGCAGTACTGATGTGTGTCTGTATGTTACAGAGGCAGTACTGATGTGTGTCTGTATGTTACAGAGGCAGTACTGATGTGTGTCTATGTTACAGAGGCAGTACTGATGTGTGTCTGTATGTTACAGGAGCAGTACTGATGTGTGTCTGTATCTTAAAGAGGCAGTACTAATGTGTGTCTGTATATTACAGAGGCAGTACTGATGTGTGTCTGTATGTTACAGAGGCAGTACTGATGTGTGTCTGTATGTTACAGAGGCAGTACTGATGTGTGTCTGTTACAGAGGCAGTACTGATGTGTGTCTGTATGTTACAGAGGCAGTACTGATGTGTCTGTATGTTACAGAGACAGTACTGATGTGTGTTACAGAGGCAGTACTGATGTGTGTCTGTATATTACAGAGGCAGTACTGATGTGTCTGTATCTTACAGAGACACTACTGATGTGTGTCTATGTTACAGACGCCGTACTGATGTGTGTCTGTACGTTACAGAGGCAGTACTGATGTGTGTCTGTATGTTACAGGGGTAGCACTGATGTGTCTCTATGTTACAGAGGCAGTACTGATATGTGTCTGTATATTACAGAGGCAGTACTGATGTGTGTCTGTATGTTACAGAGGCAGTACTGATGTGTGTCTGTATATTACAGAGGCAGTACTGATGTGTGTCTGTATGTTACAGAGGCAGTACTGATGTGTGTCTGTATATTACAGAGGCAGTACTGATGTGTGTCTATGTTACAGAGGCAGTACTGATGTGTGTCTGTATGTTACAGAGGCATTACTGATGTGTGTCTGTATGTTACAGAGGCAGTACTGATGTGTGTCTATGTTACAGAGACAGTACTGATGTGTGTCTGTATATTACAGGAGCAGTACTGATGTGTGTCTGTACGTTACAGAGGCAGTACTGATGTGTGTCTGTATGTTACAGGGGTAGCACTGATGTGTCTCTATGTTACAGAGGCAGTACTGATATGTGTCTGTATATTACAGAGGCAGTACTGATGTGTGTCTGTATGTTACAGAGGCAGTACTGATGTGTGTCTGTATATTACAGAGGCAGTACTGATGTGTGTCTGTATGTTACAGAGGCAGTACTGATGTGTTTCTGTATGTTACAGAGGCAGTACTGATGTGTGTCTGTATGTTACAGAGGCAGTACTGATGTGTGTCTGTATGTTACAGAGGCAGTACTGATGTGTGTCTGTATGTTACAGGAGCAGTACTGATGTGTGTCTGTATGTTACAGAAGCAGTACTGATGTGTGTCTGTATGTTACAGAGGCAGTACTGATGTATGTTACAGAGGCAGTACTGATGTGTGTCTGTATGTTACAGAGGCAGTACTGATGTGTGTCTATGTTACAGATGCCGTACTGATGTGTGTCTGTATGTTACAGAGACACTACTGATGTGTGTCTATGTTACAGACGCCGTACTGATGTGTGTCTGTACGTTACAGAGGCAGTACTGATGTGTGTCTGTATGTTACAGAGGCAGTACTGATGTGTGTCTGTATGTTACAGAGGCAGTACTGATGTGTGTCTGTATGTTACAGAGGCAGTACTGATGTGTTTCTGTATGTTACAGAGGCAGTACTGATGTGTGTCTGTATGTTACAGAGGCAGTACTGATGTGTGTCTGTATGTTACAGAGGCAGTACTGATGTGTTTCTGTATGTTACAGAGGCAGTACTGATGTGTTTCTGTATGTTACAGAGGCAGTACTGATGTGTGTCTGTATGTTACAGGAGCAGTACTGATGTGTGTCTGTATGTTACAGAGGCAGTACTGATGTGTTTCTGTATGTTACAGGAGCAGTACTGATGTGTGTTTGTATGTTACTGAAGCAGTACTGATGTGTGTCTGTATGTTACAGAGGCAGTACTGATGTGTGTCTGTATATTGCAGAGACAGTACTTATGTGTGTCTGTATGTTACAGATACAGTACTGATGTGTCTGTATGTTACAGAGGCAGTACTGATGTGTGTCTGTATGTTACAGGAGCAGTACTGATGTGTGTCTATGTTCCACAGAGGGAGTACTGATGTGTGTCTGTATTTTACAGAGGCAGTACTGATGTGTGTCTGTATGTTACAGAGGCAGTACTGATGTGTGTCTGTATGTTACAGAGGCAGTACTGATGTGTGTCTGTATGTTACAGGAGCAGTACTGATGTGTGTCTGTATGTTACAGAAGCAGTACTGATGTGTGTCTGTATGTTACAGAGGCAGTACTGATGTGTGTTACAGAGGCAGTACTGATGTGTGTCTGTATGTTACAGAGGCAGTACTGATGTGTGTCTGTATGTTACAGAGGCAGTACTGATGTGTCTCTATGTTACAGAGGGAGTACTGATGTGTGTCTGTATGTTACAGAGGCAGTACTGATGTGTGTCTGTATGTTACAGAGGCAGTACTGATGTGTGTCTGTATGTTACAGAGGCAGTACTTATGTGTTTCTGTATGTTAAAGAGGCAGTACTGATGTGTGTCTGTATGTTACAGAGGCAGTACTGATATGTGTCTGTATGTTAGAGAAGCTGTACTGATGTGTGTCTGTATGTTACTGAGGCAGTACTGATGTGTGTCTGTATGTTACAGAGGCAGTACTGATGTGTGTCTATGTTACAGAGCGCCTGATGTGTCTGTATGTACTGATGTGTGTCTGTATGCGTTACAGACGCCGTACTGATGTGTGTCTGTACGTTACAGAGGCAGTACTAATGTGTGTCTGTATGTTACAGGGGTAGCACTGATGTGTCTCTATGTTACAGAGGCAGTACTGATGTGTGTCTGTATATTACAGAGGCAGTACTGATGTGTGTCTGTATGTTACAGAGGCAGTACTGATGTGTGTCTGTATATTACAGAGGCAGTACTGATGTGTGTCTGTATGTTACAGAAGCAGTACTGATGTGTGTCTGTATGTTACAGAGGCAGTACTGATGTGTGTTACAGAGGCAGTACTGATGTGTGTCTGTATGTTACAGAGGCAGTACTGATGTGTGTCTGTATGTTACAGAGGCAGTACTGATGTGTCTCTATGTTACAGAGGGAGTACTGATGTGTGTGTGTATGTTACAGAGGCAGTACTGATGTGTGTCTGTATGTTACAGAGGCAGTACTGATGTGTGTCTGTATGTTACAGAGGCAGTACTTATGTGTTTCTGTATGTTAAAGAGGCAGTACTGATGTGTGTCTGTATGTTACAGAGGCAGTACTGATATGTGTCTGTATGTTAGAGAAGCTGTACTGATGTGTGTCTGTATGTTACTGAGGCAGTACTGATGTGTGTCTGTATGTTACATGAGCAGTACTGATGTGTGTCTGTATGTTACAGAGGGAGTACTGATGTGTGTCTGTATATTACAGAGGCAGTACTGATGTGTGTCTGTATGTTACAGAGGCAGTACTGATGTGTTTCTGTATGTTACAGAGGCAGTACTGATGTGTGTCTGTATGTTACAGAGGCAGTACTGATGTGTGTATGTTACAGAGGCAGTACTGATGTGTGTCTGTATGTTACAGGAGCAGTACTGATGTGTGTCTGTATGTTACAGAAGCAGTACTGATGTGTGTCTGTATGTTACAGAGGCAGTACTGGTGTATGTTACAGGGGCAGTACTGATGTGTGTCTGTATGTTACAGAGGCAGTACTGATATGTGTCTGTATGTTAGAGAAGCTGTACTGATGTGTGTCTGTATGTTACTGAGGCAGTACTGATGTGTGTCTGTATGTTACAGAGGCAGTACTGATGTGTGTCTGTATGTTACAGAGGGAGTACTGATGTGTGTCTGTATATTACAGAGGCAGTACTGATGTGTGTCTGTATGTTACAGAGGCAGTACTGATGTGTGTCTGTATGTTACAGAGGCAGTACTGATGTGTTTCTGTATGTTACAGAGGCAGTACTGATGTGTGTCTGTATGTTACAGAGGCAGTACTGATGTGTGTCTGTATGTTACAGAGGCAGTACTGATGTGTGTCTGTATGTTACAGAGGCAGTACTGATGTGTGTCTGTATGTTACAGAGGCAGTACTGATGTGTTTCTATGTTACAGAGGCAGTACTGATGTGTGTCTGTATGTTACAGAGGCAGTACTGATGTGTGTCTGTATGTTACAGAGGCAGTACTGATGTGTGTGTATGTTACAGAGGCAGTACTGATGTGTCTGTATGTTACAGAGGCAGTACTGATGTGTGTCTGTATGTTACAGTACTGATGTGTGTCTGTATGTTACAGAGGCAGTACTGATGTGTGTCTGTATGTTACAGAGGCAGTACTGATGTGTGTCTGTATGTTACAGAGGCAGTACTTATGTGTGTCTGTATGTTACAGAGGCAGTATACCAAACGGCGATGACCTCCTGGAACAGGATGATGTGGTGAAACTCAAGAGATGTATATATGCAGCACAAGTAGGTCCTAATAGATGCTGGCATGGTCATTTGAGTGATGGCGTAGTGGTGTAATGCAGGGTTACATCCCAGTCCCAATGTTCGTCAAATCAAATGACAATAAATGATAGCACTTAAATGATAGTAGTTTCCTAGTCCTATAGCTATAGTATGACCAGAAATTGAGAATATTAGGAATATGTTTTATTGGATTTCTAGTATAAACAACCTTGACCAGCTATCAAGTGCTTGGTTTCATTCAAGAGAGACAACGCCGTTAATCCTTTTTCATTAGTTTGTGAAGAGTTATCCCCCCCTTTGTTTACTTGCTAGCAGACCACATTTTCAGTGATACTCAGTATGTATGATTTAGAGAAGAGGAAGTTGATTTTAGAGTATTATAACAAGGACATCAGATCAGCTAAAGTGATTTCAAGTAGAACAGGCATCCCTTTGTCCACTGTTTATCGTGTTTTGAAAAAATATTGCAAATTGATATGGCATTGAGCACCAGGGAGGCGTAGGTAGGCCAAGAAAATTGACTGTCGGCGACAGGAGGCAGCTTGGTATTCTTATTTCTAAAAACAAACAAAGGAGTTTAGAAACTTAAGGCTGGATATGATTGATAGAGGAACTGTGGCTGTCTGTAAGGAGACAATTAAAACTGCCCTGCATGCATTGGGTTGGCAGAAAAGTCGAGGAATTCCATCACCGATCATGAAACCTGAACAAAAGGAGCGAAGGTTGAACTGGTGCTTACAGCATAGAAATTTTAACTGGGACAATGTGATTTTTCAGATGAAAGTTCTGTGTGGCTGTTTCCTAATACACTGAAATTCTGGACCAAACAAACTAAAAAACCTTTGTATCAGCGCCCAAAGTACAGTCCGAAATTTAACGTGTGGGGTGGCATATCTGTGTTAGGGGCAACGTCCCTCTGTGTATTTGAAGGGAATATGAACAGTGAGCGGTACACAGATATTCTCGAGGGACGTTTACTTCCATCTGCTCACGTGTTCTATGGAAATGTTTGGATTTTCCAGCAGGACAACGACCCAAACATCGCTCAAAGCATTCACAGGCCTGGTTTCGGACCCAAAATATGACATTATTAGATAGTCCTGACCTAAATCCAATAGAAAATGTTTGGGGACTTACGAAGGAAAGTGTCAATATGAAAAATCTGACAAATATTGCTGAAATGAAAGAAGAGGTGGTCCGATATTAGGACAGCATGGACCACGACTTTCAACTAATGGGATTGGGTAGTCAGGCTCGCTGACTTGGTTGACACGTCATTATATCCCAATTGAGCAGATCAGTAGTATGCCCCGCCGCATTGAAGCCTGCATTGCTGCCCATAGTGACTTGACAAAATACTAACTGTTCACCTGTCTTTGAATCTGGAGTTATGTTCTGCTAATATTCACATTTAATACGTGAGTAATGAGTGAAAAAAATATAACATTTACAATCTTTAAATTCTCAATAATTTCTGGTTGTACTGTATAAAGCAAGCCTTAGTCTGGACATGTACAAACAGCAACACAAACACATACACTTTGATGCAGGTCGCTATGAAAGTGCGATAATCTTGAATGTGACCTAAACCCCAATTCACATTGCCACGTACGTGATTCATTCACTATGGGCATTGCTTAAAATGCCTCCATCTTCTCTTAGACATCAGACAAATGCAGGATTGCTGGGTACTTGGAAGTAATTTTAGATACCAAATGTATTTAGTGATCCATGCTTTATGTGTTCCTGGTATAGTTATGTATTAATAGCATTTGGTTAACAATTAGCGACTAATGGGATTGGGTAGTGAGGCTCGCTGACTTGGTTGACACGTCATTATATCCCAATTGAGCAGATCGATGCTCATGCTGTCATTCACTGGATTTTCGGATCCAGGTGGCTGCCATATAGATGGAATATTGCGGAAAAGGCATTAAACAACAATCAATCAATCAATCAATCAATCAATCAATGGTTAACAGTTGTAGACTTGTGCAAAATGTTACGGCGCATCTATTTGATGTGTAAGATGAATTTATTTTATCCCAACTATTTATTTACTGAACCCCATAATAAATATCTGTTCAGTATTAGCATATAAAAATATCAATGTTTGTACTGAAACGAACTTTTCACTGTTTGGGAGCATATTACTGAAGAACCAATAGACGTTTAATGGATACCATCCTCAATAACCTCCAGGTATGTGTTCCGATAAATCTCCACTAGTACCGTGGATGCATCTATGGCTCGGACCAATAATTGTATTACCTCCCTTTGCTGGCTTTTTATCCAATCAGGTGTCTATGCTGGGAAGTTGAGCGTACAAATCACAAAGCTTCTATCATAACTCACTTCTGCTTCTTTTATCTAACCGATTAAACTTGGCAACACAATTGTTGCAGAGGTACCCTGAAAGAGGTAGAAGGAGTTCTTGCATATATTTGTTGAAGGTTTCAGACCTGTCAATTTGTCTGTATGATTTTTTCCCTAAATCTGAGTCATACAGCATGCAAACCTTCGCAGCTGTTGACACTGGCAAGCTTGGTTGTAAAGACATATCTGACTGGCTACTTTGAGAAGGCGGAGCCAGCAAAGGGAGGTAATACAATTGTCGGGCTGGGACGTACATGCATCCAGGGTACAAGAGGAGATTTATCAGAACCTGTAGTATTTTAGTATTTAGTATTTTATCTCTTAGTTATTTGTTCTATATCTTGCCCCTGCATTTTTTTGTTTGTCCATATCTGTTCCAGCGTCACAGTCTTCCCCCTATATGTACTCATAATGTAGTCGACGACCATGATGACAAGGTCCTCAACGCTCTGCGGAGATGTCAACTTTTTAACAAGAGAGAAGATAGGGTTAAGGTATCTGTTCTTTCCAAGACAAAATATATATATATTGCAATTGCTTCTGTATCCTTTGTTTGGCCTGGAGAGCGGAAGGTTGCGTGTTCGATCCCCGACCGCGTCACACCAAAAGACGTTAAAATAATATGGTACTTGTTGGTCCTTGCCTGGCGCTCGGCATTAATGGGTACAACAAGGACTGGTCGGCTCGGAGTCAGTATAATGTGTCTGAGTGGGGTATTCATGCTTCACTGCGGCATGGTATTTCAGTGGGCTAGCACTATAAAACCAGCTTCAGTCTGGGCTAGTACAAGCAGCCGCACATACACATACGCACGCATGCACGTCATCATATGAGCGAAATATTCTCAAGCACGACTTAAAACCCAATTTCACCTCACCTCACCTCACCTTTGTTTGGCTATTCATACAATCTCATTTCGTTGATGTTTCCTTAAACCCAAATAGGAAATAAAAAGAGACTATGCCCATGTACTGCTACTTTCACATCTTAAATAGAGTGGGCCTCATTTTGGGTCAGAACAATGTCACCAGTTGTATAAACAAAAAATTGTCTTCAGTTGTTTGTGTCTATATGCTTAGCAGTCTGTGAAGTTCCTATTTCTAACTGACTTCAATATGACTTGATATTTATTGAGTTGTGAATTGTTTTTCCATCTGAGTTAAAACTTCAGAATATAACCCACATATAATCGTAAGCCTTTTCAAGGACTGTAAGAATTGTGCCTCTGCTTGTTTTGGAACAAAGCTTCCCTCCACTGATGTGAAATTTATTGTTCCAGGTTATATTTCATCCAGAATTTCTTAATTCCACTAATCCACTTTTTGGTTTGGATTATGAAGACTTTGTGAGAGGCTGCCATCTTGGTGTCTTCGCCTCCTATTATGAGCCCTGGGGATACACACCAGGTAGGGCGTGTCTTCATGAGAGTTACTAGTTGCATTTACAGGGTGTTTGATTGGGCTTGTATACCGATAATTGGATGGGACAAAGAATCAGTTGTGAACATGGTCCTTTAAGATGTGACAAGCAGATGACCTTCTGTGAAACACTATGAAATTGTGATGTCTATACAGACCATTCAGGACCGCCTCAGTGGTGTAGTGGTTAGAGCGACCACCCAGAGAGCGGAAGGTCGCGGGTTCGATCCCCGACACGTCATACCAAAAGACGTTATGGTACTTGTTGGTCCCTGCCTGGCTCTCGGCATTAATGGGTACAACAAGGACTGGTCGGCTCGGAGTCAGTATACTGTGTCTGAGTGGGGTATTCATGCTTCACTGCGGCATGGTATCTCAGTGGGCTAGCACTATAAAACCAGCTTCAGTCTGGGCTAGTACAAGAACCCGCACATACACTTACACATGCATGCACGTCGTCATATGAGAGAAATATTCTCAAGCACGATGTTAAACCCAATTTCACCTCACCTCACCTCACCTCACAGACCATTCAGCTTGTGGTAGCTTTTACGAGATGGCAACTGGCCAATCAGAGAGCTGAATGTCATTACGAGAAGGGGCAGTGTTGTAGCCTAGTGGTTAAAGCATTCGCTCAATATGCCAAAGACCCAGGTTTGATTCGCCACATGGGTACAATGTGTGAAGCGTATTTTTGTACCAAGAGACAAGTTAGGACTAGAAGACACAAAAATGATTTGTCAGTACTGTGTGGTTTGTCTGGTTCAGACTTAATATTTCTTGGACCACTCTGATCTGTGGCCTGAATGTTGCTGACTTCAAGGTTGACCAAAACCCTTTTTATCATTTCTTGAAAAAAAGCAGATGTATCTGAGGCCAAAAATATGAAAATATTTTTGTTTCTCATTACCGCCCGACCCAAAATTTCGACCCGACCCAAAGATTTTAATTATTTTTTACACTAGACAAAATGCAACTTTGACTCTTAAAACGTGCTTGAATGTTTCACACTTCAAAGTTTTGATTTTCTATTGGAAAAAGTGTAAAGATAAAGATAAAATGTAAAAATAAAATCCACCCACCCGACCAATATTTTTGGGAAAAAGTGATGAGAAACAAGAATATTATTTTATGTGGCCTAACCAAATGGCATTTATCATTCCCTGCCTTTGCTTACTGTCCCCCTCATCTCTGCAGCGGAGTGCACTGTGATGGGCATCCCCAGCATCTCCACCAACCTGTCCGGCTTCGGCTGCTTCATGAATGAACACATAGCAGACCCCAAGTCCTATGGTATCTACGTTATAGACCGGAGGTTCAAGAGCCCTGAGGACTCGATCAAGGAGCTGGCTCAGGTAGGTCTTCTATGTCTTTGTTGTGAGGCAGTTCTGTGGTCAAGGGTTCTATAAGTTGACATGGGTGGCTTTGTGCTCAAGGGTACCATAGGCTGTCAATGGTGGGTCTGTGCTCAAGGGTACCACAAACTGGCATGGGTGGGTCTGTGCTCAAGGGTACCACAAACTGGCATGGGTGGGTCTGTGCTCAAGGGTACCACATACTGGCATGGGTGGGTCTGTGCTCAAGGGTACCACAAACTGGCATGGGTGGGTCTATGCTCAAGGGTACCACAAACTGGCATGGGTGGGTCTGTGCTCAAGGGTACCACAAACAGGCATGGGTGGGTCTGTGCCCAAGGGTACCACATACTTGCATGGGTGGGTCTGTGCTCCAGGGTACCACATACTGGCATGGGTGGGTCTGTACTCAAGGGTACAACAAACTGGTATGGGTTGGTCTGTGCTCCAGGGTACCACAAACTGGCATGGGTGGGTCTGTGCTCAAGGGTACCACATACTGGCATGGGTGGGTCTGTGCTCCAGGGTACCACAAACAGGCATGGGTGGGTCTGTGCTCCAGGGTACCACAAACAGGCATGGGTGGGTCTGTGCTCAAGGGTACCACAAACTGGCATGGGTGGGTCTGTGTTCAAGGGTACCACATACTGGCATGGGTGGGTCTGTGTTCAAGGGTACCGCAAACTGGCATGGGTGGGTCTGTGCTCAAGGGTACCACAAACTGGCATGGGTGGGTCTGTGTTCAAGGGTACCACATACTGGCATGGGTGGGTCTGTGTTCAAGGGTACCGCAAACTGGCATGGGTGGATCTGTGCTCCAGGGTACCACAAACAGGCATGGGTGGGTCTGTGCTCAAGGGTACCACAAACAGGCATGGGTGGGTCTGTGCTCCAGGGTCCCACAAACTGGCATGGGTGGGTCTGTGCTCAAGGGTACCACATACTGGCATGGGTGGGTCTGTGCTCCAGGGTACCACATACTGGCATGGGTGGGTCTGTGCTCAAGGGTACCACAAACTGGCATGGGTGGGTCTGTGCTCAAGGGTACCACAAACTGGCATGGGTGGGTCTGTGCTCAAGGGTACCACAAACTGGCATGGGTGGGTCTGTGCTCAAGGGTACCACAGGGTGTCGTTTATGGCGTGCTCCAGGGTAATACAACCTGGCATGGGTTTTCCTAGTCTCAAGGGTACCACATGCTTGCATGGGTAATTAAATTCTTAATACCTTATGGTCATAACAAACTGACTGAATTGTGACTCAGATAAATATGTTTCTGACAACCATTCTGACAACATGTATCGCCTGCACGTCTGATCTGGAGAGATACACATTGTTTACTTCTTGTGTATTGCAGCACATGTTTGACTTCACATGCCTGTCGCGGAGACAGAGAATTATACAGAGGAACCGCACAGAACGACTGAGTGAGCTGTTGGACTGGAGGAACCTTGGGATCGTAAGTACACACATGGACGTCCAGACAGGATGGACAAATGGAAAGATGGATACACAGACAGTCACCTCCATTAGTCTCCATATTGCTGTCACAAGTTCTGATTAGGATTACAAGAGTCTTGCAAATGTTCTCTCATACTTGAAATACAGTTGGAGCTGTGACTGGCGGCAGCAATAGTACATCATTGGAGTTACGCAAACAGGAGGTCACTGTGAGGAGCTTTGTGCACTTTAGGGCTTGAAGAATGTCAACAGTAACAACTCATGCAGACTAAATTTCTATCTCACAATATGGCAATGATGCTAAATTGCGGAGGCTAATAAAATATTTTGGAGAAGTCAGTTACAAAAGTAATTTTTAAGATTCTGAATAAAATATGTAAAACATCTGAGGGCAAATGGATCGTGTTTCAGTATTATCGGAAGGCCAGGTCTCTGGCTCTACAGCAGACACATCCAGAGGCATGTTTGGAGGACAGTCTCGCGGTGAGTACAACGCTTTACTCATCTCCCTTACTAGGTCAATGCTTCTACTATACACTACATTCCTCCAGGGTAGTCACTATTATATAACCCGTGAAGGTCCGGGTTACAATTAGTCTTCAGTAACCCATGCTTGTCGTAAGAGGCGACCAACGGGATCGGGTGGTCAGGCTCCCTGACTTGGTTGACACATGTCATCGTATCCCAATTGCGTAGATCGATGCTCATGTTGTTGATGACTGGATTGTCTGGTCCAGACTGGATTATTTACAGACCACCACCATATAGCTGGAACATTGCTGAGGGCAGCGTAAAACTGAACTCACTCACTCACTATTATATAATTCTACGAAGACTGGTTTAACTGAGCATGAGGCCAGTCAGTTCATCTGTAGAATAGCTACAGTGGAAGCCCTCTAAACCTGCATTCGTTTGGACCGGCAAAAAGTGCCGGTATAGACGGCATGCTGGGTTAGAGAACATGCGGGTTTAGAGAACTTTTCCCTTTAAACTTGAGAATGATCTTCCGTATGCTGTAAAATACAACTGAACAACATGTTGCGAGTAATAACCTTACTTTGCTTGTGAAAGCAAAGTATCTGATGTCTTTCAGCGTATCAAACAAGTGTACAAGTTGGACGTGTCACACACCAATTTACCTCACCGACTTAGGCCTAATCCTTATCCATACTCCTTTTATCAGGCAACATCAATGAGCCAATGGAACAGGAGAACATAGATACCAGATGCCGGTTTAGAGATCGTTAATTACTTTTCAAACAGTCAATTGGGCGGTCTTTGTTGTGCCGAAATACAGAATAGACTGACGCCAGATTAGAGGGCATGTAAATGATCATAAATTACCTAGCTTCTGCCGGGACCAAATTCTAGTGTCGATATTGAGAGCATGTCAGATTGAAGGGCTGCTGGTTTTGAGAGCTTCCACTGTACCTCTAATGTACCTCTATACTAATGAACTAAGTTATAATGAAGAGGTGTGTATATATTCCACAATTCCTACTACATCAACTTTCAACACTCAGTAGGTTTATCTCCTAAATCATTAGGAATGGTAGGAACGTGTAAAGCTGATACTTTTCTCAGACTTTCAATGTTGACGTCACAATGTGCTTCTTTGCCAGAGGAGACCACGGCCAGGTTTTCAGGTGATTTGTTTGATTGTGTTCGAATGTTCAGGTTTCATTTGTTTCCTTGCTGTAAAGCTTCAGTTGAATCTGACATATCAAATACATGAACACCCAACCAGAGGTCGATGAAGTGAAGCCCTGTCAACTCAACTTGAAAAGCTGTTCGCCAAAGTTTAAGTAGATCAGTCTGTGGAAGTGGCAATAAAATTTACAGGAGAATTGTAACTGATTCATTTGGTTACTAGCATTGGGTTTGAACTCCCCCTTTTGAAAATGACTAAAGACCCCCCTTTTGAAAATTCCTGGATTCGCCTATGACTAGGCATGACGTTAAATATCAAGGAGTGCACTTTGGCCAAGGTTACACAAATCTTGAGAATTCATTCACTTGTTTGGGATAATTTGTTAAAGGATTATACAAGTTCTACCGAAGCTTACAGCATTCTGTTATAGTAGTGTTTGGTTGATTCAACTGACAGTGTTACTGAGGTTTCAGTTTCACAAACTTTCTCATTTGAAGAATATTATGTTTTAACTGTTTACTTGATCTGGGTTTCAAGTTTCTTGTCAGTTATTAAAAGAGACTGAAACTACTTCAACTTGTTTTTTATTTCATATAAACTATACATTCATTTGGGAAATGACTTCAAATGAGACAATTCAAGGAGAGAAAAACAAATAGTATTGCAATAGTTGGTCACAATATACTATCACTATAGTATGTTGCAATAGACTATCAATATCGCAATAGTATTTTCCCATCAATAGTCACCGCTAGTCATCATAGACCACTGTAAACCAAAAGTCACTGTGTTCTTTAATCTGATTGGTAGAAAAACGTGATCAAATGGTATTCGATTCCCGGAAGTTCGCTGCTTATTAATACATACAATCATCGCTCACACCATTGTATTGTTACGTCATCAGCTGTGATGACGTCATTTAAATCATATTGTGACGTAAAGTCCGAATGACGCCACAAATGAGCAGATCCAGATGCTACCATGGGAGACAGCCGAAACGGCCAGCTGATGACATTACTCTGCTGTACCCGTACTCGATGTCAATGAGTGCAGACACAAAAACGTGTGTGGACCTTTTGGTTTACTTTTGTGTTTACAATGTCGATAAGCATCACATCTCCTAAATGAACTACTAAGTACCACACTTCAAGGATTTGTTCCTCTTCTTCAGGGCAAGCACTTCCTGTATCCAAAGCCAGCATCGGAGCCACCGTCTCCATCCATGTCTCGGTCATCGACTCCAGCACCATCAGATGGAGAGGATGAGGAAGAGGATGAGGAAGATGACCCTCGTTACCATGACGATGAAGCTTGAGCTACCTATAGTATTATGTTTCCAATGGGATGAACAATGGTAAACTGCTCTGTGTTCTGTCTCCTGTGCTTGGACTAATGTATGTTGGGAGAGATGTTAGCTTGATCTGCGTAATTGTTGGCGAAACTGTGTTAATTCTGAAGTTTGTTTCTTCACATTGTGTTCAAATAACAGTAGGATTTAACATGGTCAAATAATGGAGCTTGTATGTCCCAGTGATTGCCTCCAATGTCCCTGTGAATCTGTGAACGTGATAAACGGCATTTATTTGCCTATTAACACATGTATTCCTACCAATATTATCTATGCTATGCTTCATTTGATAATGTTTCTTTTACAAGTGATTCCAAGATGTGGATCTCAAATACATGTACTTACATTTATGTTTTTGAGGAGTGTTACACTTTTGTCCTGCCCCTTTGTCCCATCTAAGGGCTATTTACTGTTCCCATAAGCTGGAACTCAGGAACTACAAGATAGCATTGTGTTGTGCCCTTATAGTTATGGTAGGCCCATTGGCCTGAAGTGTCACACTGTAATCTGCAGAGTTGTGTCCCTTTGTTGTGCCAAGATCCGATAATCATTGGTTTTGATCACATATTTGTAATTTGATCCTTGTCAGCTGAATACCTCTTTTGTTGATTTTTTTGTTATGCTAGGATCCAATAAGCATTGATTTTGATTGCAAATGTTTAATTTGATCCTTGCCAGCTGAATACCTCTTTTGTTGATTTTACAAAAGTGGTTAAAGTATAAGTGTATAAAGCCAGCAGTAATTTAAGTTTTTTTTATCATTAATTTGACCTGTTGTGATTAACTGAAATACTGTTCTCTGGAACTCTTTTAGACCAAACAACTTCCCTTCTTCTCTCTATCACTCACTCACTGGCAACACTACCCAAGTTAAGAAATGGTTATAACTATTATCTTTTTGATGATTTTATTATAGATTTCATTATATGGTAAAAATAATGGTGTTTTTTTATTAGACAAAGTAAGTTTAAATTTAAAAGAAAAAGTAAATGCTTAAAAATCTTCATATTGAGATAAATGTACTGTCAACTATTGTCTGTTGTTTCATTACAGCTTTGTGTGTTAAGTTTAAGTTTGGCCGTTTGAATGGTGAAAATTGTTTTGTTGTTAAGGGTGATGTATGTTAGTTCACGAACAGTTGATGCTTTGAAAATGAAAGTTGCAAATGTCAGCTGTAGTTTCCGACATATCTGTGTAGACATTAATCAGTATGCAATCAAGCCATTGGTGAACTTTCCATTGTGTGTACACTAGATGCATATGTACGATAATCATCTCATCTGTGATTGAAATCTTGCTTCCAGTATTTAATATAATGTTATCAGAAGAACTTTATGTTCAATTTGATAAACACCTCCTTATGTCTTGATGAAAAGAAATATGGGAACAGATATGAAGGGAGGGAGGGATTTGTTAGTCTGTCACAGTCCCTGAACCACATTATATTCCCTACAGCCTTGCCCTCCCTGCAATGCTAAAACCCTAAATGAAGCAAGTCTAGATTTCCCCCAGGCTCTGAATCTCTGGTCCTTGGGACTCTTTTTCAATTTAAATGGTTTTGTTTGTTACAATCAAAATTATTTATCGTGGCAATGGTCACTTTGCTGCTACTGTGCATGTTGTTTTGGTGGGCCATTATTCTTTGTGATGTGACCATATTCACACAAAGTGTAAATTTGATACAGAGGAGTTGAGCAATCTTTGGTTCATGGTTTTGCATTGCTTTGTAAGGAGCTTCACATTTGCAGCAGGGGCGGTGGGGTAGCCAAATGGTCAAAGCGTTTGCTCGTCATGCCGAAGATCCAGGTTCGATTCCCCACATGGGTACAATGTGTGAAGCCCATTTCTGGTGTCCCCTGCCATGATATTGCTGGAATATTGCTAGAAGCAGCGTAAAACCAAACTCACTCACTCACATTTGCAGCAGACGTGGTGATGTTGCACTGAGTTTGTTCTTACAGAGTCCTAGGTTTCTTGTGTGTTTGACACAGTGGGGTAGCTTAAAGGTTAAATCATTTGTTCATCACACTTAAGACCCCGAGTTTGAATCCCCAAATAAGTATCACTAAGGGCATCGTAAAACCATACTCACTCTTAGTATGTTCCCTTATTTCTTTTCATCAGTATATGGACATAGACTTGGAAATATTTTGAAAATATTGTAATTAATATATTCCATAATATATATTTGTAGGTATGATATATGATATGTATAGATCATGTTGCATGAACGACCCATGGTATACTGAAGTCATCAGTAGAAATGTCTTTAGTCTGTTGTAAACGGCTTAAGTTGTCATACTTCACAATTGTTAGATGTGATACTTATTAATTTCCTTTTGAGGTTACGAAAAACCACTCGTTTTTGGTAAACAATACCGATTTGTAGCAGTTTTAGAATTCTGTTAGGTAAGAATACCCATTTCTGTTAAATGAGAATATTTTTCTTGCATTTTTGACGGTTATAGAGATGATGTAAGTTTGTGCATTATTGTCTCGTCTCATTTATTCATTTCCTGTTCAAAAATAGGTTTGTAAATATAATTGTTACAGTTGATATGTTGGAACTGAATTTCATCTAGCTGGTAATACAAGAGGAAGGTATTTTGCATACTGACTCAAAATATGTCATTCTGATTCGTGTGTGAGTTATCTACATGCATATACAGTAGAATTTAATAATTAATACAGATCTTATCTTCATTATGAACACATGTGAATATTGATCTTCAGTATCCCATGCTTGTCGTAAGAGGCAACTAACGGGATCGGGTGGTCAGGCTCGCTGACTGGCTTGACACATGTCGTCGTACCCCAATTGCTTAGATTGATATGCTCATGCTGTTGATCACTGGATTGTCTGGTCCAGACTGGATTATTTACAGACTGTCGCCATATAGCTGGAATATTGCTGAGTGCGGCGTAAAACTATAGTCACTCACTCACTCACTCTCTCAAACTCAATCACTCACTCACTCAAACTCTCTCACTCCATTATAAACATGACATGTGGAATGGTAAAATAAGACTTGTCCTTGAGAGGACCATGTCAATGTGTGAACACACACGTTGGTACTGGAAGTTATTGCGAACACACAGTTTGAATTAGTATGCAACATCCTGACCGATTCAGTTATCGGCTAGAATGGTAATTTATGTACAATGGCCAGTATAAATGTAACAGTCCATGTTTGTCATCAGTTATGGATGAGTAATTTGTCAAGACTTCCGTGTCAAGTACTGTCTGTTAATTAGCTACTGCTGACAATTTTTATGAGTGATTAGGTAACTGCACTTAGAGACACCAGGAAGACTGAAACCGTAAGATTTCACTCACAGCTTTCAAGACAAACACTTGCCTGGTTGCCGAACCAACTGGTTTAATTGTCTATCTAATCAGCTTCTGTTAATAATAATGATAATAAGACTATAAGTATAGCGCTGACTTCCACCACACAAGGGCAATGCTCAAAGTGCTGACAAGTCACAGTTCATATGTACAAGAAAATTCAATGATTTATGACACATTGTTGAAAGAGGCGTGTTTTGAGTGTTTTTGAAGAGTGGCCGAGTTGGTACTAGTTTTAGGTCAAGAGGTAGAGAATTCCAAAGGGTAGCATACTGAAAGGACTTGGCACTTTCCTCCCAATCTCAAATGGAGAATATCATGTTTCTCATCAACTGCCAAAACTCAGCCCAAATCTTATTTTACAACTTGTCTCTCAAAGCAGTTTTTCCTGTCATTGAATTCTTTTTTTCCCCAAGACAATCTACTCATGAGGATAGTACTTCATTTGTAAACTATCAGGTAACCATGGTAACTATTTTCAGTCAAATTTCTGTAACAAGTAACGATAGAGTATCGTCATTCTTGAATATAGATTAGTGAAGGAAGTGTTCTTTACTTTATGGTAAAAGCTCTATAATTTAAAAGATATTTTTCTTGGGAGTTTTACTTTGTAATCGAAAACAAATGACAAGGATATATTGCTCACTGCTGTCTGGAAAGGTATCTGTATCAAATTGCTAAAGTGTAATTCCAGCAGTGGACTGATTCTGCTGTGGATAGATATGTTGGTCTAGATAGTAGAATCCAGCTCTTTGTGTCATAAAAATGCTGCAGTTCAAAGACAACCGAGAATAAGTCTTCTTTAGGAAGAACAGGGTCCTGAGCTTTGATGCAGCTGGTTAACTCAGAAGTTTTAAATCATCACTGCTGGTGTTTCATCAAATATGTATTGAAAAACTGAGTTGTTCTTTATTAGAATTTGTGACTCAGTCTTTTCTCACTTTAGATTTCCCTTGGGAAATATGACAGAATTATTGATAATATTACTGATATTGTTATGGAGAATATTGCTGATCATCATTAATGAAAAGACAATCAAAACATAACTGCATTTTTTATGCATTATTTAATCATGACCTAGTTCCTAACCTAGTGGTTAAAGCATTTGCTCATCACACTGAGCGCCGGGTTTGATTCCCCATATGGGCAGCCCATTTCTTGTGTCTTCCGCTGTGATATTGATGGAATATTGCTACAAGCAGTGTAAAACTAAATTCACTCACTCACTCTATTGTGCACGCAGCTTGGTGATCCTAGTCATCACAGCTGCTCCCAAGCACTGTTGGGTTGAGGCCCCTTGCTGATTATTGGATCAAATCCCATATTTTATCCGTTTTTTATCCTTGATACGTTAGCACCATACTCAAGCTTGTGTATTGCACTGACGCTGTAAATGTCCACTGTCCCGCTGCTCTACTTATATTTGTGCAAAATGTATGCCTTGTGGTAAATATATGTCCGTTTATTCAGTTACTTTTCTATGAATGAAACAAAAAATAACAAAAGAAACTGGACAATCTGTCATGTCAGCTGTCACTACACCCAACTCTTTAAACCAATAGTTGTTGCTTTTCAGTTGCATATGAAACTAATTCCGATGATCAGGGGAGATAATACTATATTCATCTGTCACTCGCCACAAAAATATACTTCTGGAGAGCAGTGTCCGACAACTTGAATCAACAAGGGAGGTAACTGGGAACAATTCATTTCTACCTCTAGTTCAACTGATGGAGACTGGATTGATGGAGTGTGGCATTGCTTGAATAAACTGAATATTACAAAAGCAAACACTGCTTGTATTTTACATAGTATCCTTAAGTACATACTTTCACAAGTATTTCATTTAGTGAATTATATAGTTAATTTGTATGGTGTACTTATTTGGTGAAAAAGATATTCATCAGGTGTGAAATTCTTTTTTGAATACATTATATTGGATACGATATTCAAATTGCAATCTCATTAAGATGAGATCTTTTACTTGGACAATATCTGTAAATGATGATCTATTGATCCCTCTCCATAGGAGGTCACTTCAGGTGAACACTGGGAAGTTTGACTACCCAGTCCAAATGAAATATGTTTAGCTTTCTTCAGATTTCAAGTACAATTTCAGCTTTTCATCAACCTCAATTTTATAATTACAATCATAGCAAATAAAACTGCCAAGAATGTATGTACCCTTGAAAGTACATCTTCATGATGTAAGTGCCACTCAAAACATTTTCTTTAAGAATGCAATAGCACCACGTTTTTGCATTCTGAACTAATTTAATTTTTATAGCCTTTAATACTGATTGGTTGATTAGAAAGTTCATCTGATGGGGGCCTCCCATGACGGTGTAATCAGATCCTCGTTATGAGAGGTAGTGGTTATGAATAGTGATCCAATTTTACTGAGATCATCGCTGTTACCATATGTATGTATCACATCTGTGTTGCACCAGATGAGTGTATTTGGATTGAAACATTGAATATAATGTGTGATAATAAATTATAATACTGTTTGTGTTGGTTTAGTTTTCACTGTAGGGGTGGTGGGGTATACTAGTTGTTAAGGCTTTCGCTCGTCGCTCCGAAAAACCTGGGTTCGATTCCCCACATGGTACATTGTGTGAAGTTCATTTGTGATATTGCTGGAATATTGCTAAAAGCGGCGTAACACCCAAATCACTCACTAACTAGTCTTCACTGAAACAGTAACGAGGCTAGAGTGAATCAGTATGGTTTTACGGCACTTTTAGCAACATTCCAGCAACATCATGGCAGGAGGACACCAGAAATGGACTTCACACATTGTACCCATGTGGGGAATCGAACCCGGGCCCTTGGAGTGACGAGCAAACGCTTTAACCACTAGGCTACCCCACTGCCCCCTTCCAGCATGGAGCCAACATGCAGTGATTTAACTGAAAACTACTGTTCAAAAGCACTCACTCTGATAAACAAGTATTGTACAAATAACAATTCCACACAAGATCCCCTCTAACACCAGTCTGGCGACTAACGGGATCGGTGGTCAGGCTCGCTGACTTGGTTGACACATGACATCTGTTCCCAATTGTGCAGATCGATGCTCATGCTGTTGATCACTGGATTGTCTGGTCCAGACTCAATTAAATATAGAATACCCCCATATAGCTCGAATAATGCCAAGTGTGGCGTAAAACTAAACTCACTAACAGCAAGCACCACAAAACCCCATATTACTCCACCTCAAGTTTCCCATTTAACAAGATTTGTAGAGAGAAGATACACAACAACATACAGGTATATCTAATATTTTATTATATTTCAACTTTGTCTCCTCTGAAAGAAGCACTAATTTTCTAATTTAGAAAAATAACAATTTGTTGATGGGACAATCTTTACAATTCTAACATAATAATGTCTTCTGGCGAAGCAATAGTGTAAAACAAGAATTATGTGATAAATATCCATCTGTAGTTGTACTTGTCACACTATGGGGAAAGTAACCATGGTAATATTTCAGTTCTCACTAACACATGTTCATGGCCAACACCCTGGTCACATGTTGAATCTGAAATCATTGTATCTTGACAAAACATTACAAATGGATCAGTCACTTTTCGTAAGCAAGTGCTCAGTAAAATGCTCAATATTAAAAACATGTTGTATATATACTACTCAGTGCACAAGTTATAGAAACCCACAATAGGAAGGCCGTATGTTGCAGCTATACCAGCCATAACATATTAACTAAAGTCATATGACAACAATAAAATAGGGCCTGTAAGACTCGAGGCACCACTTCCGGTACTAAGCTGGTTTGCAGCTCCCATTTCGTACCAACTTGCAATATGTGAGACGGAGCCCAGCTTACTTCCGGTACCAGATTTCCCGGTGACAAGCATATAATCAAGAACCAGTTCTGGTTCCAAATTGCATGATCGCCAGATATAATTTTACTAGACAGGACCATGGGTACAACCATGCTTGGCTGTCATAGCTGTTGACAGTCGTAATAAATCGGAAATATTTGCTATTCCCTCAAGGAATATAGGTTCCTCACTGTGAACTGACAACAACAAGAGCATTTGAAAAGGTATGAAAAGGTCACCGGAAGTACTAAGGTCTCGCAAAGTGCCGTGACCTACTGACAGGCCCTTGAAGGTATTTTTGAACCTCTTGATGAGGATATATTTCAGTCAAATGAGTCAAATGACAATTCAACACGGTACTCTAAACAGAGGAACTTTACCAAACTGACTCGGACACATTGTCAGGAAGTACATTTCTGCATCATTGTGTTTACAAACTTTACAAACAACAAAGATTACCATCATTGAAAGATATAAAGACGTTCAGTGATGGTACATATGATCCTAGACAATCCAATGTATATCTATAATGACCAATAGCCTGCAGATTTTGTTTTTGGTTCGATTAACCTGACATTAAAAATAGATGTGTATTCAATCAAATTACACTTCTGTTTTATGATCTAAGCAAGCAGTGATATCACCAGAACTTCTAATTAACAATCTGAATGTTTGTCCCAATCTCGGAGTCTTCAGGGAAACGTCATTAGCAGCAAAGAGATTGGAGCAGGCCATAAAATACATATATCAAAAAGCTTGCTGAGAATGTAGATCTTTGCTTAAGTTGCGTTTAGAAGAGGCATTTTAATAATATTGATGTATATTAATAATGCTACAAATCTTCATAGAGTTTTATATTGAAACCCTGTGTACGCAATTTTCATTCTCAACTCCCCAGGGAGAATACAACCCCAGTTGTTACCACCAGGAAGGTTGCTGAGTTCATATTTATTAGAAATTATTTGCTATATTTAAGTTTGGAGACAGGAAGCTGGTGACATCACTTTGAAAACAAAGCTGGTGGAAGTGGATGCACGTTATGGTAATAGATGGGAGACATTACACTGGGCAGTCAAGGTTGGGCACAAACCCACTTGAGTGAGTTAGTTTGGTTTTACGCCTCTTTTAGCAATGTTCCAGCAATATCACTGCAGGGGACACCAAAAATGGGCTTCACACATTGTACCCATGTGGAATCGAACCTGAGTCTTCAGCGTGAAGAGCGGACGCTTTAACCACTGGGCTACCCCACTGCCCCTCAAACCCACTTGAGTGTGACAAGTACATCTGACAGTTACAAAATCTATTATATGAACTTCTGATCCTACCCTAGGAAAATATGTAAACTAAAACCAACCTATCAATGTGTTACTTTCAAACATTAATTTACCAAATTGTCATGAAAAATTCTTTCGAAATGTTGCCAGTCGACAGATTGAAAACGTATCTGATGTTTGTTCTTAAAATTTTGTTTTTCAGTTATATGCAAAATATCAAAACAAACTTTTATGTCATGAATTCATTGATAAATTGTTTATGGGAACTTTGTGTATGAATTAAATCAAGGCAATATTTTATTAATAATATGTATTGGATATCTTCAGAACTTATTAAACTTCAATTAAACAAACTACCTTAATTCTAACATTACTAAAGTAATAAAAACATAAAAATCTTGTCTAAATATATATAATTCTGTATACATAATAAATAAAATTGTCAACAGTAATGGACGGACTACTTGATAGTTGTTCAAATGCTCTGTAACAGGTTACAATCGTATATCACAGAAGAATGAATATGAAAACAAACGATTGGACAGATCTCATTTTCACTAGATGCTTCAAGCTTCAGGCTTCAATATCTGGATCAAGCTTCATAAAAGCAAGCAAGCAAGCATCTTTTATCACATTTTCCTAAGTACTTGTATTCTCAAACCACAACGTCATAAAATAAAATCGATACAAAATTATAATTGTAAGTTTTCTTTATATTCCATCGAAATTTGAAAGTTTCAATAGCCAAAAAATATTTCTTTAGATTGGGTAATAATGAAGTTTAAGAAAGGACAAGAATGGAACCAAGAAACAAATAAAGAACTGAGACTCCTCAATAAATATTTCTTCAGCTCTAACTCTGTTTCAATTTTCCTGCAATACATCAAACCCATCCATACAACGATCTATAATATTGATGGCATAGAAATTGGACAAGACATGTGAAATGGAGCTTGGAATTGCACTATCCTCAGTTTCTAGAAAGACAAACAAAACAATCAAATGCCATTACCATTAAAGGTTATTTTCTGAGAACACTGGAGAACACTGGAACCTCTCCGTTCATCCGTACAGGCATCACTACCAGTACATATCAACCATTATCCCTTTTGACATGGACAAGACATTGGCCAATACTAGCAGTTAGGGGGTGAAACGGTACGCTCTTACCACGGTACGGTACGTATTGCGGTACAGGGCCTTCGGTTCGGTCCATTTAGGTTCGGTATATGGGAACTTACTTCCAGGAAAATAGCAGCCGTCTAGCAAAGAATTTGACAAAATGATTTGATTTCTAGACATTTTAAAAAGGTTTTAAAAGCTTAATAAATGATGGTACGAAAACCGAAAATACTGATTTTTTTTATTGCATTACGGTTCATCGAACCAAAGGCAAAATACCGCAGTTCTACTAATATTGCGGTATACGGTTTCACCCCCTACTAGCAGTCCCAGTAAGTCTGACTGTTCTCATTCAAAACAGACTTTATCAGACACTGATAAGATATAAAGTAAAAAGAAGTTACATCACCCCCAGAACAGAAGAGTGGTCTGACTGAGTACCTAGGGAGAAGGGTCCAACAACCGGGCTCCATAAGGGTACAGATGGACAAGACTTGGCCAACACTAGCAGTCCCAGTAAGTCTGATTGTTCTCATTCAAAACAGACCGTCAGACACTTAAACTGGTAAGATTTACAGTAACAAGAACTTAAAGAACGCCCAGTTCTTACATATCACTATGGTCACTCAGTCCTGGCATGACTGAGTAACTGTAACAAATGCATTAGGGGAGTAGTATGTCTAAAATTAGATGTGATGATTACTACTTAAACCAAAATGGTTGTGTCGGTTTGACATAAATCACCATTGAGCATGCCCTCTCCTTACTGATGATGTCATCCAACTTTGATGTGCATACCACCAACTTCAATGGAAATTAACATCTGTTCATGGTTAATGTTCAAAGAATGTAGAATAATTTACATTATGCTAAAAAAAGTTCATATTTACAGCTGACCTCTTTGACAACATGGCTGCCAATACAAAGACGACGAAATAATTCGACAAAATGAACAAAAAGGCACTTACAAAAGATTCCACTAAGCACAAATTAACACAAACAAGAGAACATTATGTATACATACAACTGCTGAATCCTGAATCTACAAAACATCCTGATGTTGAAGAGAATCATATTTGGTCATACACACCAAAGGAAACACATAACAGTCAATATTGAGCAATAGCAATGCCAGGTATCTGTATCAGCCAGAAAGTGTATTCATGATTTAATTACTGGTTCAATATGATGTGAAAATACTTTGCTTGAATACCACTGTATTTTCCAAAACATGCACCCTTACAGCATGGAATATCGACTGAGTGGATACTTAAAACCATTAACTAGTTAAATTAGATTCAAACACTGAATGATAGTAATGAACTTGATCAAACATCAATTGAAGTATTATTTTTCAAATAAGTTATTGGACAATTATCTAGTCCTTAGACATGCAATGTAGACAAAAACAGGGATTGTTGTGCATGTTTGGTCCTAGGAGGGGCTGCTTTAAGATTAGTTACCGATTGTTTGAATCAGTTGTCTTGTTCGCTGGATCGGAGTGCTTAATCCACCAAATACGGTAATACTCTTTTCATGGCTTGTAAGTGTATATACATCGTGTGCACTCTAACCAATACGGAATTCTATTATGAAACTACACTCTAGAAGCAAAATTGCTTTATCACAGATGTTTTCATCTTATCATTTGTCCTAATAGAGTATCATGGCAAGCAAGCTTCATTCGTTATAACAGAATCATTAATGATATCATTTCCAATACATAAACTAGACAAAAGTCTCAGCTCATTAACGAACTGTCTTTCACTGACAATATATACACTTGTGCATATACTACAAAGGATGCAAATCGGACAACATATCACAGAGTCATTTACATCATTCAGATGATGGAACTATGAGACAAGCATGTCCACAGTTATAGATCCGTTTAGACTCGCTGTTAATAGCTGAAATATTGCTTATACAACATCATACAATATTCACTCGCTCAAGGGTAAAAAAATTGACATGGACTTGAGTACCCAATTTCAACAGTAATATGCAACACAACTGACTGTGTCTTAATTCCTGTCATTATAATCCAATTCAAAATTCATCCAGACACTGTACCACTTCTCGTCCTTGTCTTCAACTCTTAGCAAGGGGAAGACATAAATTATCTACCCTGGTTGGAGATCATAAAACTCTGACTGTCGTAAGTTAAACTGTGCGAGTTACGACAGTCATTGCACTACGATCGCTTTGTTAAACTGCGTCTGGAATCCCAGACCTAGAGCTAAGGACCACCTGAAAATGACCCTTTACTCTAATGAGATGACCAAACAATCTGAAAACAAACTGTTATGATGCAGGTTGCTTCACTTGTTTCTGAGAATTCCAGCAGAAGATCACGCCGAAGACCCGGGTTCGAATCCCCACATGGGTACAATGTGTTAAGCCCATTTCTGGTGGCCCCCGCCGTGATGTTGCTGGAATATTGCTAAAAGCGGCGTAAAACCAAAACTCAGTCAGTCAGTCAGTCCAGCAGAAGATTTATTTTCAGCAGCCACCTCTGCAAATGGCAGCCCACACCAAGATGCATTAAGCCAGGGTGGAAGCAAGCATAGAGTAAGACGACATGTTGCATCAGCAAAAGGATGCATATGGCTCGGGAAGTACACGTTGATTCAGGAAACATCTACTTTGTACAATTGATAAGTCCAAAGTCACTTCTAAACAGGATACACATTCAGCCACTAGAAAAACAAATCTGCATTTTGTCATTAATTTGCCTCATGCCCCCTAACTTCCATAGTGAAACTGACTCGTTCATAATTAGCCTCAAAATCCTCCAAAGTGAGCAGTTCTTGGTCTGCTAAATGAATATTCCACCTGCTACATTGCTGTTGGCACTGTGTATGTAGAGCTTATGAGACCATCAATTCCAGTACAGCTTTATTCCAAAAGCTGTTTGCTACACTTTCAGTTACAGGGGTTCTGGTTTCAGGGCACTTGGCATTAATATACTTTAATTGAATGAACAATATCACAGTGAAGTTACTTAATATAAGCCATGAGTACTCTAAGTATCACTTTTCCACTTTTTTGGTTCATTCAATCGTACTTTTGTGTTGTGTACTTATATCATCAGGCTGAACAATGTATCAGGAGAGTAATCCTCAGGTATGGCGGCTTTTATGCATCTGGTTAAGGATCTTACATCCCATGTGATCAAACATCAACTTCATCAGTTTTGGTGATGACGACACCACCCTCTGAATCTGGGTTTTCAGCCATGAAGTTAAACAGACTCCGAGCTTTCTGCAGATCAGCAGAGTCTTCTTCCAGGTTACCCCAATCATCCAGGTCTTCCTCCACCTCGGACTCATCAAACACAGTCGTCTCCTCACAGAAAGACACACGCTTCTTGCTGGATGTTATACTGTTCAGATCCAGGGCATCTGATCTTTCATCATCGTTATTATACTCAGATGTAAAGTAGCGATCCTGTCCATCATACAACCCTCTTGGATCTGATGCATCAGACCCTTGAGGCTCTGGCCTCTCACCACCATTACTGTTAAATAGCATTCTATTGTTCTGATAATGGTTGTCTGGTGGGAAAGGTACTCTCTGTGACGAATCTCCCGTCCAGCCTGGCTTTGGTTGAGCTGATGCTGGTCGCCTTGGAGACTTGGATGACTGAGGAAAAGGAATACCAGCAGCTGAAGCTGACATAGGCCGTCCTCTACTAGACATAGGTGCCTTTGATCCCACAACATGAAGACTAGCCAAGCCCTCATGTTCTGCTTCGTCTTCATCCTCAAAGTAACCCTCTTGCTCCTCTACTTCACCATCATCACTACTGACGCTTTTCAAAACATACTTGACAATATCTTTGGCCACTCTATCCAGAGCCTGTTCAGGAGACTCAGATCTGATGTCAAATGTGGCATTGATTTCTTCTTCAATTGACAGAACATGCTTCTTTCTTCTTGCTTGTTCTCTTATGTCTTCCTGCTCTTCCTGGCTGAGGACTCGTCCTCTTGGATGCCTCTGTGCAATTGCTCTTCCTTGCAAAACATTACCTTCAGCGTTCTGAACAAGATCTGGAATTGGCCTTTCATACTTGGGCTCTGACTGTGTTAGTTCATTTTGTCTCTGCATTTCCTTCTTCTTCTCATCATCTTCTTTTCTCTTCACCTGCAGCCAATCATCATACGATATTCTTTGGTTTCTTTCAATCTCTTCCTTACTTAAAGGTTTCACCATAGGCTTCTTTCCTGGTGAAGGAGGTGGTTTAGTCTCCTCTGGTGCCTGCTGATATTTGCCCATACGTAATCTAACTTTCCCTAAAACAGGCCGTCGGTATACATATTTGGTAACAGGAGGTTGAGGAAATTCTTGTTGGACAGGTTCAGTTGAAGGTGAAGGTGGTTCCTCATCAAGAGGGAGCTCTGCCGATGCCTCAGTTTCAATATAGCCAATAATTGCTTCTCGTACCATTTGCTCCTGTTTCTCCTGCACCTCCTCATCTGTTGTGCCTGGTCGCTGTACTCTGAGTTTGGACCTCTCTGTTCTGATAGGGCCTGGAGCAGACATTGGTCTATTCACCCCCAGGCCATGAATGCCGGACACCGTCTTAGCTCGCTCATAGGCTCTTCTTGATGCCTCATCACTGAGGACAGCCTTTTCATGTTTTTTCCTTCTAAAAGATTCTCTCTTCTTCTGTCTCATCCACTGTTGCACAATCAGTTTAGAATCTTTATATCTTTCTTCTATTTCTATTTGTTTCTCAATCTTTTCTTTTCTTTCTAGTCTTTTCCTCTTTTTCTCTTCAGCCCTTTTTCTGCGAAACTCCAGGTCTTTCCTTTTGACCCAATCTCTGACAAACTCGTTCTCAGAATTTTTCAGAAACGTGTCAGTACCTGGTCGTGGTGATCCTGAAGATGACCTACTTCTAGAATTCGACCTACTTCTTGACTTCTTTCTTTGTCTGCTTCTTTGCTGACCTTCTTCGTTGGCTGTTGTTGGTCTCTTATCTGGTGTCTTCTCATGTCGTTCTCGAGATGTTGAACGGCTCTGATTCATCCTTGTGGCTGATAGAGGTCGTGTCCTTGCAGTCCGTGCCCTTGACCTTCTTTGACCTGCATTTGTTGTTTGAAGAGTTCTTATTGTGTTGTAAGCCTCATCTTCACTGGCAGGATGTTGTAGGTTTTCTGAAATGAGATTTTAAAGGAAAACTTTGAAAATTTCATATTTTATAAAAACTAACACACAGTTCTCAGTGGCAGTGTGACAAAAAGAACAGAATTCACAATTCAGTTCTAGTGTAAAGAGACATGCTTTATAATTAAATTTAGATTTGCTAATCTTCCTGAAATGCAGTGACATTAACAACGGCACCTGTTTTCCTGGCATTGATGTTATGACTTAACACAACAAAAAAGACAGGGTGTTAGTGATGACTTTCAAATAAAGCCTAACAATTTCTTCTTAGGTTAGAGCCACAGATACTAACTACAAGGGCCACAATCCAAAGTTGTTCAAAACCTAAAGCTGTTAAGATATAACCACATGACAGAATATTGTCTGCAAATAGTCACCTTTATCTCCCTTGTGTCTGTTATAGCTTCTGTTCCGAAATTGGGCAGGCATGCTCCGTGGGACCAGCACTCCAGTGGGCGGAAGTCCATGGCTGGCGATAGCATACTGCTGTCGAAGCAGCTCCATCTGCTGGATGTGATTATGAGTCAAAGCAACCTTCTGTTCCATGAACTGCCCACTCACAAGTTGCTGCAACTCCATGTACTTCTGCTCCAGCCTCTCCTCAGCACTTTCTAACGGCTCCAAACCGATTGTCCGGAACTCGCGCATCTGGGCCCGTTTGTTCAGCTTCCGCTGCTGTCTCCCAACACGTCCACTATCACTCATTGTCTCGATTCTATCGCTTGCAGAGTCTCTATCAGTACTCCCTTCACGCAGAGAGGATGTTTTTGTTGATAAATAATTCTGATTAAAATCTTTTTTGTGAGTCACCTTCGTTCCACGACCTCTCCGTCTCTGAGGTAGTGAACTTGAGCTAGTATCATTATCAAAAGTAGTGTCTGCAGTGGTTTCACTGAACTCATTCACAGTGTAGGACTCTTCTTCTGATTCTTCACCCTCCTCTCTCACTCCATTCTCAACATGGCCGTTCTGAACATGACCATTGGATACAGGTCCATTTTCTCTCTCCAATTTTTCAAAGAAATTGAGGGTATCATCAAAATTTCCAGTCTGTGGTTCAGTCATGTTTTCTACTCGACTGCCAAGATCTGCCGACTGGTGGGAACTCTCCACCAAATCGTCATTTGTTGCTCTATTGTCGCTCTCATTTACAATATCCTCCAGTAACTTCAGAGATCTGGGGCTGATGTAACTCATCGCACAGCATTAATGGATGTCATGGTCTTCGAATCTGAAACAAATAGTTTGGGTATAAGTACATTGATTCATTCATTGTTGCATGTGAATGATAGCAAATCATTTTGCGCCAGCAATATCATAGTTGGGAACACCAGAAATATCCTTCAAACAATGTTTTTCCATGTGGGAATAAATGAATCCAGGCCTCCACATTGACAAGACATCTTAATCACTACAGCTTGTTCAGCTTGACCTGAGCTACTCTACATATGCATGACCTGGGAGGTCAAATGGCAAAAACGGCAGGTCGAGTTAACTTCATTAAATAGGTGAGCAGGCAATGTAATTAATGCTGCGTTCTTGCGAAGCATGCATACATGGATTTGTTACAGAACTTGTCCCGGAAAACAACACTTCTGAAAAAATAATCATTTAATATTTTACTTGAATTGTTTATACAGTCATATGCTATCTAGCTTGGTTTACTAACTTTACAACGTACAGACGTACTTTCACAATCGGATTCACTCTCGCTATTACCTGTAGCTTATTTGTTAAAGAAAGTAAGGACATTGCTGACGATTTCTCGTCACTGAGATGTCAAACAGCGACCTTGTCTCGGCTGTTCGGACATGTTGACAATCAACAGACACAGGTGCACCCCCTTCACAATAATAGACCCAACCAGTTGTGACACGGTCACGCAATTCATTAGTATTCACTTGATCAGGTCAAGCTGAACAAACTGTAAGCTACCACACTGGACACAGTGTTGCATGTATTCTAGTAGCACAAAACTTAAAACATTTATTTCTCAAATGTTTAGTCAAACACATATCGGTATATCAAAATCTGTTATGGCGTAACCTTTCAAAAGTTGACCAATTAGGCTATAGTCATTTTGACTATATCTGTTCATTCTTACTTGCTCCAAGAAAGGCTTCACCATTAGTGAAGAAAAACATTCTCAGATACAAGGCAGGAATAGATTTACAGTTGTTTTAAACTTTTAAATTTTTTTTTAACAAAACATTATGCAATGAATACAGTTATACTAGTATTTGTAAAACATCAGTCTTCCTGTAATACCACCAGCGTGAGTGAGTGAGTTTAGTTTTACCCCCGCACTCAGCAATATTCCAGCTATATGGCGGCGGTCTGTAAATAATCGAGTCTGGACCAGACAATCCAGTGATCAACAGCATGAGCATTGATCTACGCAACTGGGAACTGATAACATGTGTTAACCAAGTCAGCGAGCCTGACCACCTGATCCCGTTAGTCGCCTCTTACGACAAGCATGGGTTAATCAATATTCTAACCCGGACCTTCACAGGTATCAGCGTGAGTAATGGAATTATTTTGCAGAATATTGGGTGCGTTGCATTCAGTGCACCTCTTTGACCAATTCCAATGATATCAATGCTTGTCATCTTGTTATGGAAGGAAAACCAAAGGTTATGCAAGTCTCAAGATTGATTGATTGATTGTTGTTTAACGCTGCACTCAGAAATATTCCAGCTATATGGCGGCAGTCCGTAAATAATCTAGTCTGGGCCACTGCTGACAAACCAGGAAACATAACTGGGAGAATCGGGATTCAAACCTATGCTCATGGGTTTCCAGTGTGCCTAAGGGATGCAACTCGGAACAGAGAATTAAGTCACCTTTGACCACTGTGCTACCAACGCCTTCACAGTAAGAGAGATAAGCAAATTTCCTTTCAAACTATGAAAAGATTAAATAAATCCCTTATCTTCTGACGGAGCTGAGGGGCTGTGGGATAGCCTAATGGTTAAAGCATCCACTCATTACCATGAGGATCTAGGTTCGATTCCCAACATGGGTACAATGTGTCAAGACCATTTCTGATGTCTCCTCCTCCGCTTAAAGCGGCATAAAACCTCACTCACATAATCGATCTGACGGAGCTGAAACTGTGTGAAGGAAAATGGTTAAACTTTCTTCATTTTAGGCACCATCACCTGCATTGTTTATCATATCCTACTCCTGTAAATGATTTAACAAATACAATGTACAGTGATAGTTAACCATTGTTTACACACATGTAACCATGACAATGTCACTCACGACAAACACAACAAATATCGCGGTGAGAAAACGCCCGCATACAACTATCACAAAGCTTTAGTAATAACTTCAGGGCTAGTTTTTTAAATCCATTTAATATGTACATGTTGTTCACAATCGGTATTGACAGTTTTCTTTGGGTATTCAATGTGATTTTTCACTCTACTGGGCATGTTGAGTCCTGTGTTTGGGTTCTCTAAACAGATGAAAAGACTGTTTCGAAAATAATTCAACGTTCCTGCCATTCAAGGAAATTCTTATTTGCATATGTTCGTGTGCTGTCCCAAGCGAGTCATATGACAGTGATACATGTCTAAGTTGCAACAAGCGCATTGTTCCTCATCCATGCATTATTCACTGCACACATGATGCCTTCCAGCATTGTCAGTATGAAAACATCTGTAGAGATAAACACTATGTGATGTACCCAAGCTAAAAAAGGTACATTGTGTTATTTCAAGAACAGCAACGAATCCACTATGAGGTGAATATAATACATTATACCAATATAGGGTAATGAATATAAATATGTTTTTAAGAAAATCATAACACATCGCCACTTGATGTTTTATTCATCATATTCAGTCGAATATTAAAAAATATATTATATGACATGTTTTGACTATGTTGATTGTGTAAACAAAGACCATGGACCAGATCACTTTCAAATGGAATATATAAGAGTGTTGACTATTATCCTGGCTTGGATGTAACCCATTTTGCATTGTATAATAGGGCACTGGTTTAAAAAAACCCACCTTTTTTAAATTCATGAATATTTGATTCTAGGTATTGTGAATAACAAGCTGAATTCATGAAGGAATATTGTTCGGAATATGTGAGTGAATCGTGATAGTCCTACTAATTACACAATTGTCATACAATTAGGTTAACAAAATAAATTTCTTCTTCTTTAAATGTCTTTAACCTTACTGTCATGGTGATGTTGTATAAGTACTTTACACAAATATGCACAGCTTACGGACCGTTCATAACTTATGGCTTGGGGTGTGTGGAGAATTATGTACAATGTGAATGACCCCTCCACACACACACTCTCCCCCACCCACCACCCCCAAATAAAAAAATAAATAATAAATAATTAAAACTTAAAATAAAATAAAAAAAATTTAAAATGTATGTACTAAGCTCCCCACGTGCATGTCATGTTCAAAATCAATACCCCACCCCCACCCTCAAATAATTTTTAAGCATATTTTTTAAAATTTGCATGTACAAAATTGCTGATGCCCCCACCCCCACACAGTGCATGTGTACAAAACTGATGACCCCCACCCCTACCTTCCCACAACAAATGGGTGACCCCCCTTAAAATCATCATCACCCCCCCAGCCATAAATTATGAATGGTCCCTTATCTAGATAATATATTTGTTTTCGTATATTCCGATCATGTTACACATACAAATTTATCAGGGGGATTATTGGCTTATTGATATGCCAGCATACAGAAGCAGAGTGCGGTCGATTCTACAAATAAAATGGCTGCTACCTAATCTCCTTGACGGCAACGGTGTTCATGTAATGATTATCTGTCTTATTTCAATAGTAGATTATGTACATTAGCCATGTTTGGTCAGGGAAGAAACCATTTGTCCTCATCATACACAGGTGTTGATCTGCAGCGGAAATATGCAGAACTATAGCATAATGTCTGTTATCAGTAGAGGATGTGGTAATATGTCTCTATTGTTGACTGAGTTCTGTCTACTTGAGTTTAAAACCGCATGTGAGAATGAGCTTGGCAAGTAGGGCTCTATTCTACAACACAATCTTAGTACTAAGACGGCTGTAAGTTCCATACTCTGTCACAGACCTGATGCTGTAATGATCACTCTGTTTACCATCTCGGAGAGGCCAGTGTGATACTGTGATAGCCTAGTGGTTGAAGCATTTGTTCATCACCTCGGGGTGAGGTGAAGTGAAATTGGGTTTAACGTCATGCTTGAGAATATTTCGCTCATATGACAAAGTGCATGCGTGTGTATGTGTATGTGCGGCTGCTTGTACTAGCCCAGACTGAAGCTGGTTTTATAGTGCTAGCCCACTGAGATACCAAGCCGCAGTGAAGCATGAATACCCCACTCAGACACATTATACTGACTCCGAGCTGACCAGTCCTTGTTGTACCCATTAATGCCAAGCGCCAGGCAAGGACCAACAAGTACCACATTTTAATGTCTTTTGGTATGACGCGGTCGGGGATCGAATCCGCGACCTTCCGCTCTCCGGGCGGATGCTCTAACCACTACACCACGGAGGCGGTCTCATCACCTTGAAGACCCAGGTTCTATTCCTTACATTGGTACAATGTGTACAGCACATTTCCTGTGTCCCCCACTGTGATATTGCTGAGATATTGCTGAAAGCATCATAAAACCATACCCACTCACCATCTTGGTGTAACTGAACTTAGAAACATAATCTAAGAGAACCAGGACTCCTACCAATCATCATAGATTTCGGGCACACCTAACAAAATTGCAGAGATTTCGTACTGAGGACTCAAATAATTATGGAAAGGGTCTTGTCACTAAAATGTGGACAACTGAGTGAGTGAGTGAGTGAGTTGAGTTTTACACCGCACTCAGCAATATTCCAGCTATATGGCGGTGGTCTGTAAATAATCGAGTCTGGACCAGACAATCCAGTGATCAACAGCATGAGCATCGATCTGCGCAATTGGGAACCGATGACGTGTCAACCAGGTCAGCGAGCCTGACCACCCGATCCTGTTACTTGCCTCTTACTGTGGACAACTGAGCCACCATGACCGGATACATGATGAGAAACCATGACATAACCTTATGCCAGTCCAAGTAGCAAAAACATGGTACATTGGGCCATCTGTCTGTGTGATTGTTACTTCTGTAACCTGTCCGTGTTCAGTAACCGATCCAAGTTTTACATGTTTACATTTCAACTTTTTAACAATCTTGTAACCATCAAAGCATTGTGAGTAATTCTAAACCAATTTCACCTTTTTTCATTATTATAATGATGTGCCATGCATCATAACACAAGACTTCACACAATTTTCTGTAGAATAATCAATCAGATAATGTGTCATTATTTTGGTACTTTTAAGGACAAAAATAAACAATCCACAAACATTCCCAGCATCACGTACCGACGTGTAAATAGGATATCACACTGCCCCTAGTGAGAGGAGAACAATTGTTCCATAGTGCAAGCTGTTTACAGTTGTTTCCAAGCAAAGGAAATCGATATCTCAAACATGGCTTATAAGCCAAATTCAGTTCTTCAACACGCATTTCAGCCATGTTTCTGTGTTTGAGGTAGCAGTCAGCAAGGCAACTTCAAACTTGAAAGTCCAGACTTGAAAAGACACATAGTTCAAAGGCAATTCAATAGCACCCGCATTGATATTCAAAACAAGTTTGGATAGAAATCCAAATTCTTTGTAATTCTGGTAGTTGAAAGGACCTCTCACTTAGTAACTTATGCTGTCCTGATACAATACGTATTTTGAAGAAATTGATGTGACAGGATTGAGTGAGTGAGTGAGTGAGTTTAGTTTTACCCCGCACTGAGCAATATTCCAGCTATATGGCGGCGGTCTGTAAATAATCAAGTCTGGACCAGACAATCCAGTGATTCACAGCATGAGCATCGATCTGCGCAATTGGGAACCGATGACATGTGTCAACCAAGTCAGCGAGCCTGACCACCCGATCCCGTTAGTTGCCTCTTACGACAAGCGTGGGTTACTGAAGATCAATATTCTAACCAGGACCTTCACGGGTGATGTGACAGGAAGTACTCATGAAGTCAATATAAGTTACATTTCATCTCAAGTGGGAGTAAGTAAAAATTGACACATAAAAATAAAATAACAATCCCAGGATCATTCTTCCAAATACCACCAGATAGTTCGTACCTATAGATTGTTCATCTCCTTGTCATTCCAGCTAATTAAAAGTGCCTATGATGGTATATGGAAAAACTGACTTTGATACAATAAGAATCTTGATGATTTTGTATTATATACTTGAGACATCATATCCATGAGGATTATTGAGACATTTTCACCACCAGTAGAAATATTCATCTGCCAACCAAACCATACTCATAAAGGTTTGGTTTTTGATAACAACTTTTTGTGATAATTCTTTCATATAGCACAAGACAATATGGTATCTTTTCTCTCATTTTAACACCAAATAAAATGAGTTCCATATATGTACCTGTAAAATTCTGCATCAATACAAAGCAAACAGTAATAATTATAATTAATAATTTAATTTTAATTTATAATAATTAGTCCATTTATATGCTAAATCCACACCCAACAGCAAGCTCAATTGCTCACAGCGCAGGATTATAATTACCCCGGATAACCCAAGCTGCCTATGAGGCGCTAGAAGGTTTATAGTAATATGACTTATCTCACCGGGTACCCATTTCCTGTTGGGTGAACAGAGGCAATTTTGAACAAACCCACTTGCCTAAGGTGTAACCACATGTATTACATGGGCTTCGTTGTGGGGCAGGACTGCTGTCCAAGAAACTATCAGGAGTCAAGCTGCCAAACATAGTTACCCATCCAAAGACTCTCCGCACCCAACATTACTTAACTTCAACTGATATGTGACCTGAGCTCTATGCACAGGACCACACGTCATCAATAATATAATTGTACCAAGTATCACACCAAATCATAAAAAAATAACTATTATGATAACTTATCTTGGACATTCTAAAAACAAGAGAACTGGCTCATCTCTTCCTGTCGTCCACATGATTGTATCTATACATAGGTCATCGTGGAAACTTCAAGAATACATTTATCGATAAATCCAAATATCGCGGTCAATATTTTTCCCAAACCTTTCCATTAGGACAAAATGACATGGATTAATAACACATCTTGATATATTTGCTGACATTATTTTACATCAATCATGCAAAGAAAAACTTTCCAGAATCTTCAGAAACATCAGAATTTGATCTTTCGTGTCAATCAAGTTCCACAAAAGATTTCATAATGATAATCCACGGAGAAGCCATGACAGGTATCTCACACTATTTCTTCATCAATATCATGATTATATAGCTGACTTTACCATCAAACTAGACCTCAAAAACAATAAACACACAACACATGACAAATTAACGGTTACTATGTTATTTGAGACACACAGAGAAATCGATAAAATTCATCAAGAATGACAACCAGCACAGACCTAAATATAATATGCAGTAATCTATAGACGAAACTCCTTCCAATAGCTCAATAACAATGTCCACTTTGACAAATTCTTATTAATGAGAACAACATTGACTCACATGACATCTTCAACATCGTGAGGAACACTAGTTCCAGATTCCTGGAATTGTAGACCACCAATTCAGTGTATATCCAAGGAAAACAGGCCCCACTTTAGGAAGTACCAATGCTTGACAACCATTGACAGCTGTCAAACATAGCATAGTGTGTTCGATCAATCAAGTGTGATTATTTCGCCACGCTGGCTCACACTGTTACATACAGACATGCCCCCATACACTGCTATGTTGGCAATGGAGAGCTGTATTCAAAAGCTAAGCCTTTGAGCCGACTGGTAGAGACCATTGGGGGGAATAAATACCTCAACGTAGAATAAACCCTGCCGGTGTCATAAGAGACGACTCTTAGCCCCTTGAATAAACATGTTTTTATCCATGAAATATGGTATGTCACATTGAAACACAATGAATGGAAACTAAGCACGTTTCTGAAGACACAATGGATGCATTTTGTATCAGTCTACAGGATGAGTTCGAATTAACAGCTCGAATTGTATAGTGAACGTTATGCTATGACCCATATATATGCAGGTTGACCTTCTCGCCTGACAACGGCATTTTGTTAGCATTGATATTAGGTGCTGTCACAACAACGGGTACATTCAAAGCCACTGACCATCTCTACAATGCATGTTCTACTGGAGGGATATTAGCTATAGCAGATTCACAACTTGTCCGAAGCATAGCGTTCAACTGGGTTTAGAAAGATTTATCTTTCTCCTTAGCTTAACAAAACATGAGTGACTCTGTTGCCATTGATACAGATACTTGAGATAGCAAGTTTGTATCTTGTATATTGCATAAGCTACAGAATTTTGTTTCGATCATTCATGTCAGATTATATTTTGGTTATCTCTATGGTTTATCTGCTCATTAGCATTGTGACTGTAAGATTTGATAGAGGTTTTTATTAAACATGTTTTCAAACTTTCATTTGATGTAATTTTAATTCAATTCCCTAATTGTAACTAGCTTTATCAAAATGATCATGCAGACATTTTACAAAAGTATGAATGTATGTGTCTATTAACCACTGCTATGTGTTCAGTGTATAGGGGCAGTAGGGTAGCCTAGTGGTTAAAGTGCTCACTCATCGCACAGAAGGCTTATGTTTGATTCCCCACATAGCTACAATATGTGTAGCCCTTTTCTGGAGTCTACCCACCATGATATTGCTGGAATATTGCTAAAAGCAGCATAAAACCTGACCCACTCACTAACCCCTATTAGTGAGCGAGTGAGTGAGTTGGGTTTGATTCTGCTTATTCAGTATTCCACATCTATGTCTACCTCATGTTGTATGAAAGCTTCAAGTGATGCAGGTCTCAGACATTTGCCTGTCTAGTGAAACCCAAGAGCATATGGTGCTGACTAAACTAGACACAACAGTCAGCCACTTGAACCATGTTGTAGGCACTAAAATACGAGGTATTTCCAACCCTGTATTAAAGTTCAGTATCCTTAACTGGAGGTCATAATAACTCTCACACTTAACAGCAGTAGTGAGTGAGTATGGTTTTACGCTGCTTTTAGCAATATTCCAGCAATATCACAGCTGGGGACACCAGAAATGGGCTTCAAACATTGCATCCATGTGGGAATTGAACCAGGGTCTTCGGTGTGATGAGGGAATGCCTTAACCACAAGGCTACCCCACCGCCCCCTTAACAGCAATAGAAAACATGAATAAACAAATGTCATCCATCATAGTCAGCTGAGAATACTTAAAGTGCAGTACCTTTTAATCAATGCTTATGACAAGGGAATTATTCATAGGTGATCACACTGAAGTTTACTATATCACCATGACTCACTGCAGTCTCTTGGCGCTGTGCTATGTTTAATGACTCCTGACCGTGAAACTTACATTTCTTGAAAAGGAAGACCTGTTGTACTGTGCTGTATTTAATCACTCCTGACTGTGAAACTTAGACTTCTCCAGGAGTGAGTGAGTGAGTGAGTGAGTGAGTGAGTGAGTGAGCGAGCGAGCTACACTCAGCAATAGTCCAGCTATGTGGTAGCGCTAGTAGTCTCTAAATAATCCAGTCTGGTCCAGACGACCCAGGGATCAACAGCATGAACATTCATCTATGCATTTGGGATACAATGACATGTGTCAATCCAGTCAGCGAACCTGACCACCCGATCTTATGCTGTATTTAATGACTTCTGACCATGAAATAAGACACATCTTCAAAAGGAAGGCCTGTTATACTATTGACAATAAATCTACCTTGGTTTAAATCAGTTTTAGCAATATTACATCAATATAAAGCAGAGAATATCAGAAACTTTACATACCGCAACAATGGGAATCAAACCTGGGTCTTTGGAAGAACAAGCAATCGCTTGAACCACTAGCTCCTACCATCTCTACCACTGAAGAACATTGTGAGTTGGTTGCCATATGCTGAATGCTCAGTCAGATCAAGAAATAAATATACACTGAACATCCATCCATATTTGCTGAGTATAGTAACTGACAAAAACAGTCCCCATCATTAGCTATTAGCAATATTTCAGCAATATCGCAGCAGGGCACACCAGAAACGAACTTCACACATTGTACCCTGATGAAGATGTGTATAATTCAAACATGGTTCTTCGGAGTGCTGAGCAAACACTTTAACCACAGCCACTAAATGTCATGAACCCAGCAGAAAATGGGTACCCGTTGGGATAAATAATGTGTCTATTAACCTTCTTATATGCAGTAGGGCTAAAGCTGTTATATATATATACACTAAAGCCGCTAATCTTTACAGCCAAACTAAACCATAAATACCTCCCTCCAGACAACCGATCTTTAGCTGCTTAACTGAAGTTACAAAATCTCGCCGCAAATATTCATAAATTGGCAGGTGTCAAGGATTTTTGCTTTCTTAATCATGATTTACTACAATATCACCAAAATAATTTATTTCCATCTAACATCAAATACTACTTAGGATTTGATTGAAACTTTTAATGCCCCAAAAATACTATCAATATATTTTAATCCCCACGTTTCCCATTAGGCCTGCCGTTGATCATTGTTGACCCGCTACTGACACAAACACCATTGACATCATAACTATCAATAATGTCGAACAGAAACCGTATACCACATTACACTGAGTTATTTCATGACTGACTAGTTCCAGGGGACACATCAATACGCTGGAGGAAGAATAGCCTGAGAACAGTCAAGTGTTGCCATAACAATCACCTTGATTTCATACTCACTATTCAGGTACTTCTAGGTTGGCAGGCACAGGTGTGGCTCCCCAGCAGCGCCGATTGTGAGACATGCAATGAGGACATTAACATGGCTTTAAAGGTGGACTCCACTCTTCATCCTGTGCCAAAGACCAGTGAGTGTGTGGGTTTAGACCATCACCTCTACCAGAACTACCAACAAATGGCTTTAAAGGCTGATTCCACTCTTCAGCCTGAGCCAAAGTCAACTGATCAGCGAGTGGTTTTGCCCCATCACCTCCTTAATGTAATTAACTACTAACAAATGACTTTAAAGGTGGACTCCACTCTTCAGCCTGTACCAAAGACCTTTGACCAGTGAGTGAGTGGTTTTGCCCCATCACCTCCTTAATGTCATGAACTATCAACCAATGGCTTTAAAGTTGGACTCCACTCTTCAGTCTGTGCCAAAACCGTTAATCAGTGAGTGAGTGGTTTTGCCCCATCACCTCCTTAATATCATGAACTATCAACCAATGGCTTTAAAGTTGGACTCCTCTCTTCAGTCTTTACCAAAACCGTTAATCAGTGAGTGAGTGGTTTTGCCCCATCACCTCCTTAATATCATGAACTATCAACCAATGGCTTTAAAGTTGGACTCCTCTCTTCAGTCTTTACCAAATCCGGTGATCAGTGAGTGAGTGGTTTTGCCCCATCACCTCCTTAATATCATGAACTATCAACAAATGGCTTTAAAGTTGGACTCCTCTCTTCAGTCTTTACCAAAACCGTTAATCAGTGAGTGAGTGGTTTTGCCCCATCACCTCCTTAATATCATGAACTATCAACAAATGGCTTTAAAGTTGGACTCCTCTCTTAAGTCTTTACCAAAACCGGTAATCAGTGAGTGAGTGGTTTTGCCCCATCACCTCCTTAATATCATGAACTATCAACAAATGGCTTTAAAGTTGGACTCCTCTCTTCAGTCTTTACCAAAAACCGTTAATCAGTGAGTGACTGGTTTTGCCCCATCATCCCCTTTATGTCATGTCTTTAACTACCAACAAATGGCTTTTCCACCTTTTAGCAATATTCCAGTAACACCATGGTGACTTACACAAAAATGGGCTTCACACATTGTGCCCATGTGGGGAATAGAACCCAAACACTTAAACTACAGGGTACCCCACTGCCTCCATCGATCAGTGAAAAACAGTGTGATGATGGTCATGGTTGTTTAAATAGGTCTTCCTTAGAACTCAAAATGTTTGACAAGTTTCATCTTTATATCCTTTACTGAGGGTTGTATAATATTATTGTCAAGTCCTCCACATCCGGACTAGACAAACCAATGACTAGATACATGAGCAACAATCCTGACCATTGAGGTAGAATGACAACCAATCACCTTAACTCTGGAGGAAGACCAACCAATTCTTTTTACATTGCATTTTAAGTGAGGGATATGGTTACGTATTCCACAAGGTTCCAATGTGTTTAGAAATATCATTTATTTACCATTAACTCTTGTTGGTGCCAGTCAAGTTTTCAATCATGACATAGAAATCAATACATCAGTCGGACTCAATTATTGACAGCCTGTCGTCACTGTACCTCCGTTGGTGGAATATTGATGAGCTTAGCATCAAAGATTTGTTTGTTTGTTATTTAACGTCCCATGCATCAATATTCCAGCTATATGGAACATGTCAATAATCCAACAACCATCTGATCATAATTGTGAGCCGGGACGGTGGTGTAGCCTAGTGGTAAAAGTATTGGCTCGTTGCCCTGAAGGCCCAGGTTCAATTCCTTACATGGGTACAATGTGTGAAGCCCATTTCTGGTGTTCCCTGCCGTGTAATTGCAGGAATATTGCAAAAAGCATTATAAGAAGTCCATTTCTTGTGTGCCCCGGCATGATACTACTTGAATATTGCTTTTTAAAAGTGGCGTAAAAGCGGCATAAAACCATACTCACTCACTGTGCACAATAATCAATGCTGATGGTTATCATTATTATGCAATTA